CCAGGAAGCAGCTGAAGGCTGCCAAGGCTGATCACAAGGCTTCCCATGATGACAAGAGCAAAAAGTAAGAATGCCTGAGCCCTGCTAACCAGTGCGACAGGTTGTCACAGTTATAACCACTGCTTACTTCCTTAAAGAACCAGTGTGTAAGATTTAGTGGCATCCTCCTGTGTGTGTCTCTGTCTCTTTGCCTCTCTACATCTCTATCTTTGTCTTCTGTATCTCTTTCTTTCTGTATCTATCTTTGTTCATCCCTCTATATTTCTCTCTCAGGGCTGTGGAGGTGAAGCGTAAAGCTGTCCAGAGGATAGAGGAGCAGCTGATGAAGCTCCAGGTGCAGGCCACAGACAGAGAGGAGAACAAGCAGATTGCTCTGGGCACCTCCAAGCTCAACTACCTGGATCCACGCATCTCTGTTGCATGGTATTTATGTGACACAGCAGAAGATGTTTACCTCTGTTTATCAGCTACTAGCATATCTGATTGCAAGGGTCACTGCAGAAAAAAAAAAAAAAAAAAAAAAAAAGACATTAAATGAGTAAACCGCCTACTGTTTAATAGGCCGGCTTTCTCTGGGTGGGTGGGTGCGCGGGGTGCATATCTACCTTGGTGACAGAAAGGCAGGAAATGCTCTTGCATTGTAGGAAAAGGAGCAGCACAAGCAAAAAAGCTAACGGCTGCAGAAGGAAAATAAGAGGAAGAAAAGCGTGTGAGCATGAGGAACAATGGGGTTTGTTTCTGAAAGCCAGGGAGCGTCCCTAAACAGGACTCCTTCCTCCATGTGGGAAGTCAATGAGGAGCTATCTGTGACTGAATGGAGGGCCAGGCCACAGAGAAGGGGAACCGTGGTCTGCCCTCCCTAACCCATGCCCCACAGCTATTTATGGAGAGCCTCCTCCTGAAGCACAATGGATACAGGAATGCTCCATGTTTTGCCTGATTGTAAGGCGTAAGGGATGGGGTCCCCTCTTGTAGGGTGGTGCATGGGAACCTGGTCTACACTGTAGTTGTGAGAGTATGTGTGACAGAGATGAAAACATTGAGTTGAATCGGGTTGATTGCTAGAGAGTGCAGTAGGTTCAAACTGTACAGAGATTCACTAAAACGATCCAATTTTCTGTTTAGTTAGCTATTAGCAAGCTGCAAGCATGCTATGCACTGTCATCATAATGTACTATTTGGGGAGTTACTGTAAAATAACTTAAAAACTTTAAAAAAATTAACAGGAAGTTAGTTTAACAAGAAAATAATAACAAAAACAATAAATATTAAATATATATTTTTAAATAGAATATTGCTGGGGTTTACATATATATTTATATTTATTTATATTCATATTATTCATTGGCAATCCAGCCTGAGCTGTTTTATCATTACCATTAGAATTCTTCACATTATTTATTGTGGAGCATTAGTCTCTATTAACACCGCAATCAACAGTCAAGTACAGCTAGTGTGAATTTTAGCAGTTTACTGTAAACGTCTTTGATTATTTTTCCAGTGGACTCATTACAGACTCAAAAACAGTATTAGTATAAGGTAAATTTGAACTATTATTACACTGGATTTATGGGATGGTGGTTATAAATAAATTTTTCAGTTTAAAATCTATTAAATAAAACATAAAGTATAAGTAGCCATAAAAGTCACTTGTAGTCACTGCTTCCCCCAAATGGTTTGTGTGACAATGGTTCAGAACGCCCACCTTTAATTAAAATGTACGCGGTTGAGCCAAGCTCTCCAACGAGCCCCTTTGTCATTGCAGACATTTTGATTTAACCTTGCTGGGCAGCTGGACTCACATGATCAAATCTGGCGCAGTCAGGTTAACTTTTATTTGCAGTCGTAGGAAAAGCAGAGGATGGTCAACAATGACTGTCCCAGTAAGCCATGACGGTGTTTCCTCTTTACAGCAGACACTTTGATGTATCATAACAAGAAAAACACAGGCCTAATTAATAACATTAATAACAAGTGCGTTTATTTAGGTGGGCTACTTCCAGATCCCTGGTATTATCCATGCTGGCTCACTACCACGCTTCATTTTTGGTTCACCTGTGAACTTTTCCTGTCAAAATGTCTGCCGTGAGGGAATCAAAGTGTTAACATTACTGTTAAAACTTTACATATACTGTTTATCTGGGCTGTCTATAAAGATGCTGGATTATACAAGAAACTAGATAGTACTAGATTGTAGACTCTTTTCCTAGTTCAGTGTAGACAAACCCCCCCAAAACAAGCAAGAAATGGTCACTAATCAAGTCCCAACAATGTTAATGCAATGCACAGCAGCCGAATAGTTTTAGATTTTCTGGTGACAACTGACTCTCTGTCTAGTCTCCCTTGTGGAATTTCTTATACAGCAAATAGTGAACAGTGGTGCAGCCAGTGACGTGGATGCTAGGTCTTTTTTTCTTTTTTTTTTTGCTGTTAACTGGTCTATTTTGTCTCCCCTCCAGGTGCAAGAAATGGGCCGTTCCCATTGAGAAGATCTACAACAAAACCCAGCGAGAGAAGTTCGCCTGGGCAATTGACATGGCTGAAAAGGACTATGAGTTTTAAACGCACTTAATGTTTTACCTTTTCTACCCATGCCTTTGATTGTAAAGATGGTCTGTAGTTGATGTCAAATGATTCCACTGTGTGGTTACTGCAGGGCTGTGAATGAGGAAGTCTCTCATTTGGAGCTGTGACCACAGTTTAATAAATTGTGCTGTATATATGGATCTGTTGTGAATATAGGAAAGTAACTCCTGAACCATTTCACCAAGCTGCCAAAGGGCACCCTCTCTTTAAAAAAATAAAATAAAATAATCACAGTAGTGTGTATGTAGCTGCAGCTATCTGCCCATGCTCAAAACAACTATGAACACATTAGTATTATCTTTTATCAGATACGACTGTACTGAAATTTGTAAGCCATCAGACTTATGGAGAAATTCTATATTCTCATAGAATAATGAATTAATAAATGTTTGTGTGGGAGATTGTGAGGACCAATATGAGATAAAATAGAATTAATTTCAATTTGTAGGATTTTAGTGTGAAAGATTGGTACAATGAAATTAGCCTGACAGACTGATGACAGTGTGAAGAATAGAAACCCTAGCACTATGCTCATATAATTATTAGCACACTGAATGTCGTTTTGTTTTTTTTCCTTTGAGTTTGATTTTGCTTTTTTATTTCAGGGATGTACATATTTTTTTGTCATTTTTCAGTAACTGATTCAGTGTTTTATAAAAAAAACGTGTGCTGTATGCATTGTCAACAAAAAGCTCTTCATTGCTCATATGCAACTCGTGTGTGTCTGTTTCCACAGTTTTGCGATGAACAAGATGTAACATTCCTCTTGGTCACTTGAAACAGCTGAAGTACTTCATGATGTTTTGTGTCAGAGATAAAAGAGACTGTTCCTTCAGACAGAGATGGTTTCTAAGAGGGATGTGGATTTTGCCAAAAAAGATCACAGAAGTCTATCCTTGTAGTGTGCTGTTTTTTTTGTATTGCTGTGATTAAGCAGAAAGTCTCCTCCTTGCATTCATTTCCAAATGTGACTGGATATTCTAACTTTTGTCATTACTATTCCTTGCTATTTGATCATTTATCACCACTCCTGATCGGTTGAATGCTAATTGTTTTGAGCTTTGTAGTTTTCAAAATAAAACATCAACCTTGTCCATTTTGTCCTTTTTTTAAATTCAACTTTATGTGTGAAAAGGGGGATTAAAACAGCAAGCTGACTCCCTGTGTATACAAAGAGAAACAATCACATCTGTGATGTAACCAGCAGTGATCCCTCAAGTCAGGGGTCATATCCCCTGTGACATTACTTTCTCAATTTTATTTTGTATTTTCACTTATATTTGACTGGATAAAAGATAAAAAATAATGTGATTGTTTTCCCAGGGAGAAGAAAAGTACAACAACTAAATAATTATGAGACCAAAACAACAAATTTGGCTTTGATTGCTTCGGACATTGTAAAGTGCAGTAATCGTTCCGGGGGGTGGGAGGCGGGGGGGATATCTGTAATGTTACTTGACAAGTTGTGATACAAGTTATGTTGAGGAGACAGCTAATTATGAACTACAGTATTGGGCAGGGGGTCTGCTTCTTTAAGAGGCCGATAACAGGCGCTCCTGCTGGAGAGATGAGCTGCGTCAAGCTACCTGGAGAGACGCAAGTTTTACCGGAAGTAGGGTAATTCTATCCAAATAAATGCATAAACATGTTGCTGAAGTAGTTAGTGACAGAGGCAAGCTCATGTTGACATTGTAACATAAGGAGCGATAGAGCTTCGAAGATGCCAAATAATATCCTCAACAGAAATGAATCAACACATATGTGTGTACTTATAAATGACTTGTATTTAAGCACAAAAACCCAATCTAAGGAGCAGAAAACCTGAATATCTGGACATTATCTGGATTGATTTACATTAGGTCTGATGAATGGCTGTTTTACAGCTCCAGGTGCAGATGTCGTAACTCTTTGGTGGTGTTGCTTTATCTCAGTTGAAATAATACCATGATAATATAACTGATAGTAGCCTTTATTTTCATGCAAAATAAAAAGTATAATATGATAGATAATTATTCATCCAGCAAGCAAGGATGCACTTTGAGGAAATGCGTTTAAAAACTAATGCTCTGTGCAGTGGAGAGGATAAAAAAAATTGAAATATGGTGTGTGTTTCACATTTTGTCTTCTATTTTAATTAATTTATTTTTTACAATGTTGTTTTTTTTTTTTTTTTTAAATCAAATGTAATCGATAATGAAATGTAAAAAATCGGGGCTAGAAAAAAAAAACACTAAGTCATATCACAACCATACCTACAATGTCAGCTCCACATCAGTTGCGACAAGTTCGATGACACGACTTTTATTGTGAAATCCCGCAGCGGAAGCCTGGTTTTTGACTCGGGGCCGGTTGATACCGCTGGTGGTCGGCCGGGGGGAGGGAGGGGGGAAGGGCCTGCGCTGGCTGGATCTGAGAGCAGACAAACTTGCGTAGTCTTACCACGGTTCTCGCTGTCTGCCTGCCCCTCTGTATGGACGGCCGGAGGGGAGAAGAGGAAACAGGGGTTGTTGTCGTCGGGACTGCAGTGCCTTTCCACGGCCCGGCGATGATTTAATCACGGAAAAACCGGGGTGTGGGGGGAAACAAACCGGAGTAGGAGAAAGACGACGGGAGCGCGAGAGGAGAGAGAGAGGAGCAGCCGTTGGAGATGTGCGGTCGGGCCGAGATTGCGGCGGTAGGTAACAGCACAGCAACGTCCCTGCGACGTGTTGTTTTCCAGTTTGATTTTTCTCCGCACAGTAAGGCGAAAAGAGAGGGAGGAGAGAGGAGCAGAATAGCTACTGCCACCTAGGCTTTTTCTTTCTTTTTTTTTTTTTTTTTTTCAGGGGTGAAACCAGCCATGATTCTTTCCCTTTTGGCCCAGCGGATTGCTAGCTCACACCGGCCCCGTTTCCACGCTGTGAAAATAGCCAGACGTTTCTTGTTATCCCACTCCGCTGCCATTCGCCACCAGTTGTATTCCCCCCAATAATGTGATGCCTCTTGTGTCCAGAGGAAACTTTTCTTTTTTTTTTCCTCTGGGACGGACTGCAGCAGGTTAAAGGCCTGTTGGTAGTTTTTTTTTTTTTTTTTTTAAACCAGTCTAAATGAGATTAAACCTCCCCGCTGCTGCCTGGTTTAAAGCTGAGATGTTGGAGAGAAAGTTATCCGGGGTGATTAGCTTAATCAACACGTTTTTCTCCTTGTCAGGCGTTTTTTAAGGTTGCAGCTCTCATTTATTTACATCCCTGTTAATGATAAATCATAGTAACAGTTTCTGTTGGGATGTAGCAGTGTAACCAGTGCAACTCAATACTGAGAGTAACCATTACCTCTATGGAAAAAATCAATAACATCATATGTGTTATGAAAGGTTGTTTTGTGCCAACAGGCAGTGTGTCTGTTTTACATAATCATCAAATGGATTTAAAAGAACGAAGTTATATTATATAAATATATATATTTATATGCTGTTTTATTACTACATTATGTACTGCTATGTTCTGTTTTGTATAAAACATGAAATCGGTCCATATTCATGTCAAACTAAATGTGCAAACCTTACATGATCATATAAAAAGCACACAACTCGTACATTGTGCAGTGTATTTTTTATTTTAATGAAATGAATGCATCATTGACAGTGTTTTATCCCTGGTAACATTCAGGAGTTTGTGTAAAAGTTATTTTATGTTTGATTTTGGATAAATGGGATTATACAAATGGTCATATTTCAGGTTATTAAAATTTACTCGTACGACTCAAGTAAACATTTCACATATGTGTCAAAATAGTGGTATGAGTGTTTGTCAAAATAAGCTATTTGCACAAAATGTGTATTTCAACAGGGAGATGAGAGTAAGTTAAATGTATTTTGATGCTGAACAATCAGTTTTTACTCTGTTTACAGCATATCTACAGGTATATTAAACATGTACTGCATATGTACGATAAAGTTTAATTAAAAACGTGTCTCCCGACAACATCAACTCTTCACTGCCGTATAAAGTGTGTACAACACCGACACACTAGAAGTCCCCAGGGAATTGTTGTTTCATGGGTTTCCCCCCTCTTCTCCTGCTGTAGGTATCCCTGTCTAGGCCTGGACTGAGCAGATTGTTCTGAGAGGAAACGGACAACAAACAGGGGAAGTGAACATGGCTGGGACCTCGGGCTTCTTTTCCAACGGACCTGTTCCGTGGATGGACAACGACACAGAGATGAACAACCTGTACCGAGACCTGGAGCTGGGCACAGTACTGACACTGTTTTATTCTAAGAAGTCCCAGCGGCCAGAGAGACGGACATTTCAAGTCAAGCTGGAGACCAGGACTATTATCTGGACTCGGGGCACGGATAAAATAGAGGGAGAGAGTGAGTAGACACAAACACAAACATACAAACAGAGCACTGGCTGTAAATGTGAAGGTATCCATCCTAGAACTGGTTGGTTTACATGCATTCGGAAATATGAAAATGGCAAAGCGTTGAGAGGTGCTTGGGTGGCTCACAAAAGAGGTGGTAAGCGCACATGACATGATGACATGGCTGATGTCAGTCTGGATTGACAGAGCCTAAAAAAAAAAAAGTTGTAGGGCTTGCTAAAAATAAATATCCCAATATTATTGACTAAATGTGATGATATTTAAGCTGCCTATTGGTGCTTTCAGAAGATCTTTTATATGCAAGAAAATTTGGAAAAACAAGGATTGTGTATGTGGAAATGAAAGTGAAACACGAGGCATTAATTGTTCTTTCCAGACGGATAAACCAGTTATGATGCAGCCACAGAGACAGACAACATTTAAGCTATATAACAATCTTAATAAAAGGGAAAATCCCAATGGCTTCTCTCATTATCAACATTACATTGTTTATTTAAACTCTGATTAGTTTCTTGCTGTTCCTATTCGGTCACCCTAAAATGTACAGGATTTGGTTCATTCATGTGTTTGTTTGTGTTTGTCATTCAGGGACTTGAGTCCAATTATTTGTTTTGTTTTGTAGTATTGTACCACATAATGACAGAGCAGGTGTGAGTCTATTAAACGAACAAGCCCCATTGTTCAGCAGTCATCTCTGGTGACTGAAGAAACCACCATTCCTGGAATTCTTTTGTTGCATTAATAGCAATATACTGTAATTTACCAGGAAGCTGACATTCAGGTTAATCTTCAACAAAACAGCGCGTCTAACTGAGGACACACAGGCCTGCAGTGAGTCGTTAAGTCGTCTGTCTCTCGGGTAGCAGGATGCCTTGTGCACAGCTGCACTCTGCTCCGGATGCAGCAAAAAGAGCACACACACACAAAAAAAATATAGTAGGCTTAGGGTTTTTTTTTTTTTTTTAGCACATCAGTATCATCTTCTCTGCGATGAAGGGTTTCATACACACATGAGCTCATAGCTGCTATTTGATACTCCTGCAGAGGTGAAATTGGCCTAGGCCGCTCATTAATGTACAGAAATAGAATATGAGGGGTTTTTACTGGAAGTGTGCGATCATTTGGGAACAATTTGGCCCTCTGTATTTGCCCCTTTATCAATAGAAGTGAGAGAATGATGTCCATTACCTGTGGAAATGGCACTCTAAATTTGTTGCTAAATATAAAATACTGAGAAGTGTACCTTTTTTGTCCCTTGATCGAAGCGTATTTTGCATGTTTTCTCCCCCCAGATGGATATTCTGTAGAGAATGTGCCAGGCTGGCATGAAATGGCCTGGATAATACTTAGTAAGGAGGCCATAATATTTTTCACTCATGGCTGAAGTTAAGTTTCTCCAGCTCTCCCCAGGGTGGCAAAAACGGCATCTCAAAATGCATCAGATTGATGGTTTTAATAATTTTAATAACAGTGTCAGGCAATAGGGTTGATGGAATATTAAAAATTTTCTTGCGATGCTCCCGGACCCTCCTAGAGGGGTAATATCCTTCTCACCTTTTTCACCCCTGACCTGTTTTCATGCCTGCTTGTTTTGTGCACATGCGCAAGTTGGTCTATGCCCGCCAACTAACAGGCAGCAGATATTTATTGATATTTGTATATCATAAATGTGATGCAATAAGATGTATATCTGGTTTGACGAAACAGGATGTGGTCTTGAAGAAGAAATGGCGGTAACAGAACTGTAAGCAGGGCAAGTCGTAAACATAAAGAGTTGGATAGCTGACATCTTTTCAGGGGAAAAAGTTAGCCTAAACTTTACATCAGGCTTAACACAGGTTTATAGTTAGTTTTGACAGAGGAGACACTGTTGCTAAACATCACATATCGTACACCCAGTTCATCTCCAGTATCGTACAAATCATCTTTAGAACTTCTGGTTTCGGAGTATATTACTGATAACAAGGCAACATGAGCGTGATTCAGAATCATGTTTGACTGTGACACATAATTTTCTACTTTATCATCCTGAGAGAGGAAACTCAGCTGTTAAAGTGAGTGAACTGATGGGCTTCGACACATACTCACAGGTTTTTATGAACAAGGTCCACATGTGTTTTTACGCTCTGAAACTATGATTTAACTTTAGTTACCTGGTAGAGAAACCTCCCATCTCAGTTCTTGGAGCCCACCACAGCATCACATCCTCTCATGTTTACAAGCTTTGCTCAAAAGCACTGAAGTAGGAGACTTGCAGGTTTTTCATTTTAAACGACAATTATAGGAGCTGATTTCACTGTTAAGCACCGGATATGACCGCATGTACTGTCAGATGTTGATCATCATGGTCATCAGATGGCATTTTAAAACCAGTATAGATCTGTAATGTGCTCACAGAGGTAGCTATCCCTTTATCATCTCTGGTTGTATTAGGCCGGGGGCAGTGTTGCTGTGGGCGATATACAGGATGAACCGGTATCGCGTTTTTTATTTCCGTATCATTAAAAACATTTTATTGACTGCCATACTGGTGCATAGCTGGAGATACTGCTGTAACTCTTCGAAGTTGGCAGTGATAAAGAGCACTGCGGTTGAGACAATATTGAGAGAGGAGCCTAACTGCATACTTTTCTCACTAACAGATATAACTTCATAACAGCAATTAAAAAACCTGCAACTAACTCTTTAGCAGGGCAAGACACCTTGGCAAACAACAATTAGTTTCTTACTTGTGGACTAGAACATTTGAGAATATCTCTTTTCTAAATACTTAAATACTTTGAGTTTTTGGCATATCTTTTTCATGCATTCTGATTCCTTCATAAATGTATTATTTTGTGGTGGGGCCAAGAAAAATCCCAAAGGAAATCAAACCTTTCATTATACTTGATGGCATTAAAATGTTTTGATATTCCATGTACTCCTGACAGTAGAAAACTCTCTAATACTGTGATACAAATTTGTGGTCAGTATCAGCCAGGTGGATATATTTTGGCTGATATTAGCTGATTACAGATATGTATCTGCATTGGCTAGGGCTGGGCGATAAATCGATTTTTATTGATTAATTCGAATTCGTAGTTAAACACGATTTACTTTTAGTTAAAATCGGTTTTCTCTAGAACTTCCACGACACCTGCGCTCCCTTTGGGATCCCGTAGGTCAGAGTGCGCTGACCCCTCCCCCCACCTCTCCGCAGATAAACACAACATGGCAGCAAGCCAGGATGAGCTCGTCCCCAAAAAAGGCACAGTGTCGTCGGTTGTTTGGAACTTTTTTGGTTTTGTGGCGTCCAACAGCGAACAAACCACGACCCTCTGCAAAGTTTGTTTGAAAGCTGTTGCAACCAAAGGTAGCAGTACGACCAATTTATTCCAGCACCTCAAGCAGAGGCATGCAGCCGAGTGGGAGAAATGTTGCTCTCTGCGAGATATACAGGACCGCAGCCCACCAACACCCACTAAAAAACAGTCTACAAAAAAATCGGGTTTGGTATGAGATTTTATTTTTAAGCCATATTGCCCAGCCCAAGCATTGGCGTATATGTCTTCTAATAGGTAAGAACAAAGTCCACAAAGTGTTGCAAAAAGAGCAAGATGGAGCATCACTACTTTTTAGGTTGTTTTTAAAATATTTTCACAGGTTGTCACAAAGTTATATGACAAGCATTTGTAATGTATTAAGCACCTTAATCGACTTAAGTGTAAGATATACATGTGTCAACGATGAGCAACGATTCGCACGTTGTCAGTCTGAATGTGGGGTCTGTGTTGATGTATCCACAAGACTTCTCTGATAACCAGTGAATCATTGCTTATTCCACATTTTCAAGTCACACTTGTGGCTCCGTCATCCGTCTGTCCCGCTCCCACTGAGCTTTCCTTGCAGGATTAACTCAACCAGTTAACACACAACTGTGACCCCTAACACCAAAATTAACTTTGACAGACAAGACTCAAGATTTTTCACACTGATTTGTGTCATGATAGCATGTTACAGCTACTGCAGAACAGATCTGTACATGTACATATCCTGATTCTAGTTGATGGTTCTGATCATTTACAGCTTCTTTGTTTTTATTTGAATTGGAAAAGGAAGGAAAAATCTGTTATAATTGATCAGTTGTGAGTATTTGCTATTTTCTGTTGTATATCATTTTAAACTGAATATCTTTGGGCTGTGGACCTTTTTCATCTGACAAAACAAGACATTTGTAGATGTCACTTTGAACTTTGGGATACTGGGATTGACAATGTACCCTATTGTCTGACATTTTATAGACTAAATGAAAACTGAGACAATAGTCGGCAGATTAATCTATAATGAAAATAATCATTAGCGGCAGCCCTAATTTGAAGGGTGCACTGAGTCTGGGAATGTAAAGTGTACACAGGTTTAGAGAGGAGTGTCATCAATTATTCAAACAAGCTACCGCATCTGCATGTTATCTGTCATGATACAGGATGAGCCCATTTAGACCAGTAGTTATATGTCATCGACTGTATCCTGGAAATTTCTTTGTAAATTATTAGAAATCATCGGGTTGTTGTTGTTGTTTTCTGTACGTGTTAATGCGGATGGAATTAGCTGCACACATCTGTGGAGGCTGTCATCTCTCTGACCTGCTTTTTCCATACCTCCCGCAAATGACGCACACATGCTCCGCCTCAGAAAGATGTAATTTCTAGATAATATACCACTCCTTTATTTAGTTACACATTTGGCTGTCAGCTCAGTTTATTTATGGCGAATATATCAACAAATTTATGGGACATTATTATCCCGCAGACAGAAGCACAGTTTTGCAATCAGTCTCCTTTTTAGATTGTTTACGTGCGTATTGTTGTAAAGACCAGGATCTCACCGGGAAACAAATGCACTCCACAGTTGACATACTCCTTTTTACCCTGTGTCGGAAAGGGGAACAGAATCCATGCAGCTGCACTACGGTTATTTGTCAGGGGGAAAGTCCTGTGCTTAACTTTATCCTACATGATATCAAAGGAGCTGATATGGATCAGCTGACGTGTGCGTGCACACTGAATCATTGTGACTTGAACACTGCAATATGAACTATTTCAAGTGCTACAGTCTTATGTTCAAACTATAAAGTGTAGCTTGTTATTAATTTTGTGAATTAAACTCGAACTCGTCAACATGCCCACTATATTTTCCCAAACTCCAAGATGATGTATTCCAGTGTTTCAGGAAATACTCAACGACAAAGGTACATGTAATGCACGATTATACAAAAGATTTCCCAAAGATAACAACAATATAACTAAACCAAATGTGATGAAAACAAACAAACATACAGACAGAAAAAAAAAGTAAATATCAAAACAAAATCAGGTTCAATGGTTCATTCATTCATTCATTCATAGCTTTGAGTGTAATGATTAATGTCACTGAAAGCATTACGTAATATAGAGTTACAAAACATGATTATAAGATTATCTAGGTGTTATCATGTAAATGTACAACTGTCATAAAGAACATGTACAATTGATCCTATAAATAGAAAACCTGATGGTAAGATGATATGGACCAAATATTTGGCCCTTTGCTGCGTGCCATTCTCTCTCCCTTGCCTTTCCTGTCTCTCAAGGCATTTCTGCTTTATTAGTGATAGCTGACATTAAAGCAGAAATTCCTGCAATATCCAGCAAAATAATTATGTGTCAGCGTTGTGCAGTTCCAGTTTTTAGTCTGCTGTAATGCACTAATTAAAGGCAGAGTGATCAAACTGCTTTTTAGTCTGTCTGTAGCTCCAAGTATCAAACTGTCAATTTCCAAAAGTTGTTATCAGTTGCCTAGTCAGAATTCGTAATCTTGGTTACTTATTCTTTGATCAGATAGGTATTTGAATTAAAAGTGTGCCAATTTCAGACCGCAAGTGCTGCCTGCAACTAATAATTGTTTTTATTATAGATTAACCTTTTGGATTATGTATTTTTTTCAATTATTTTTATTTATTTTATTCAGTTAACAAAACTAGCTGGGCTGGTGGGATACTCAGAGGTCCATAAGAAGTTCCCTTGTTCTCACAAAGATATCCCCCTTACTTTTTTTACGTATAAGTTCACCGTTCCAGTTGTTATGTTTCCTTCAGAATTGATTTTAACAATTAAATGTTGTAGGACTTTGCTGGTTCCAGTTGAGTAAGATGCAGTTCTTTCTTTGCTATGTATGATTATGATTAAAGTTTTATTGTTAATAGCTTAGTCTATACAATGTCAGAGAATGATGAAAAGAATTCTCATCGCAGTCTAAAGTGTGTTCAATTTCTTCTGTCATTTACAGTACTACAAAATGGAGGAAAGCAAATCCTCACATCTAAGAAACTGGAACCAGCACATGTTTGACATTTTCCTTGGTGGAAGACTTGAATAAGTCACTTCAAAATTGTTGGAAACCAATAGAACAATTGGGTTAAGCACTAAACTGAATATTTCAAAGAAAAAACAAAAAATTTGTACGACTTGTGTTTAGACATTTAAAAACTTTTGCTTCTTTTGTTCAAAGATTTAAAAAAAAAAAACACATTCTTCATTTATTTTGTTACATAAACTCTGGTATTTCCAGTTCTATTGAAATATTTCAAGTGAAACCCAGTCATGGGGAGGAGTGGTAGAAATAGTGCGAAGAGCTGGAGGAAGTGTGGGAGTGTGTTGCAGGATACCTCCTCTCATCTCCTTTGGTAAGGTTACACCTCTGGCTATCTCTTTATTTCCTGCATCTGTCTGGGGCAGGATCCAAATATTTTGACTCAAATGACTTAAAGTGTTGTCTAACAGATCAGCCTGTCAAAGATGCCTTGCTCTCAGCGGAAGTCTTCTGGCCCATGTGACGGGTAAAAGTAAACTCAGATTTGATGTATGATGTATGAGAAGACAGACTTATTTTAATGCTTGAGAAATGCACACTGTTCACCTAAACGCACGCACAGATGTGGTGTGTAGGCGACAAAAAGCACAGGATGTGTGGTTCGGGGGCAGGAAGAGGAGCAGGAGCTGAAAGAAGTGTGTGCGTGCGTGTGTGTGTGTGTGTGCTTGTGCGTGTGTACCAGGTCTTTTTTCAGCCGTATCATTCCTAAAGATAAACAATGAAGCGATCTCGTGTAATAGCCCATGCTGTACTTTTTTTTAATCCTTCCAGTCAGTGTAGGGAAATTTGAAGATTTACAGCGTATTACTGTTTATAGGCTTAATTTGAGCTTGCTAGACAGGATTGTAAGTGCCGTATCACTTTTATGGTCCCTCTTTGATGACCTTTACACTGTTATTAAAATTATTAAAGCCATTACAAGCATTCTTAAAATAACACAGTTACCCACACGCAACGTGTCTGAAATCTATTGGAAATCTCTTTTGTACAGACCTGACCAGTCCCATCACAAACCTGTTTGTACGACTGATGAAAGGTCTTTTGTTTTCAGATTACTAATTAGTGATTTTTGGTTGATTTCAGTGGTGAAAATCAAACGGGTTAATTTGGGGTCAGTAACTTCATCATCTTCTTCAGTTGAAATTCATATCTAACAATAGTGTACGTATAGTAAGTCCGGACATGAAGTGTACTGTACCTATATGTGGTTTAGGTCACGGCCTCAGCTGTTTTATGTGGTCGGGGGGGCTTGCAGTACTCATACTTTCTGTGTGTTGGTCTCTATGCTGGAAGGTTAATGTTAGAATTGAAGCAAAAACAAATTAGATTTATGAAATTAAATTATGAATAAATTAGATTATAAAACACTTTGGACAAGTGCTTGAAGCTAATTCAGTATCATTATTTATGGTCTTTCAGTGGTTGTGTGAAGATACAATCATATAATGTTATTGTTTTATATAATTCTGTCATCCACTTTAACATTTCCAAGCAAACTATTACTGGTAAATGAACAAATTAGTTATTGAAGGTTTTGTTATACAAATATGAAGAGTTTTATCTAATAAACATTATCATTGTTCAGTGTATTGAACTTTATTTGGATTGTTTTGCATGGGACTTTGCATATTGTGACATAGATACCGGAAAATTATTCATATTAACATCATTATTTTGTTCTGTTTTATTTTTAGCCATATCGCCCAGCTATACTGAGGATATCTTTGTATGTGCAAGGAAGTATCAGTTTCTCATTTTGCTAACTGCTGTATGTGTGTCTGTCTCTCCAGTTGACATTCGAGAGATCAAGGAGATTCGTCCTGGACAGAAGTCCTGGGACTTTGAGCGCTATGTGGAGGACTTGGCAGCACGGCTGGACCAGGCTCACTGCTTTGTCATCCTGTATGGCACAGAGTTTCGCCTTAAATCACTCAGCCTGGCAGGTACGTATAGACACCAGCACAGGCTTATATACCTTCAAATACAACTATTATTATTTCACATTGCCATCCTATTTTAACATTAATACCTCAACTAATACAGTCATGAACTAGAAAATGTCCACCAGTTTACCCTTAGTGCGATTGATGTGTTTTGTTTCCAACCTTGCTTTGTGTGTTGGTGTAACTTTCTGAGTATAGTAGTAGTTAATGCACCTTGTTACTGCACCAAAACAAATGCTGCTGTTGGTTTAATGATAAAACGTTGATGAAGGAAGCTTTGATGCCACCGTCAAGTCAAGTCAATTTTATTTGTGTAGCCCAAAATCACCAATTAGAACTTTAATGCATAAACACCAAAAATCTTCTGGTTACAGCTTCTCAAATGTAATAATTTGCTGTTTTTCTTTGTCACATATGACATTAAACAAGCTAATTGATCATTCATCTTTTTTTCACTATTGTTTAACATTTCTTAGATGGATATTGACAATTATCAGTAGTTGCATCCCTATACAGCACTATATACCCATAAACCATTGATTGATTCAGAGAGGGGAAGGAAGTCTTTAACAAGTAAAAATGAAAAGGATATCTGAAAATATTTGTCAAAAATCAGTCATGTGTTCTATTTTCCTCAGCAACGTCTGATGAGGAGATGACCATGTGGGTAAGGGGGTTAAACTGGCTCGTGGCAGACACACTGAAGTCTCCGACTCCGCTCCAGATAGAGAGGTAAACGTTAAACATGTAGCTACACATCACATCCACATTATAAGGTGCAGTGGACAGACAGCGTTTATACCTTGTTTTGTGTTATATGCATCAAGTCTCTTAATTCTCTTTTTTCAGATGGTTACGTAAGCAGTTCTACGCCGTTGATCGCAACAGAGAAGACCGGTAAGTCCCCTTAGTTACTCCAGTGTTAATCAGATCTGTGTCACAGGAAATAGGTGTAATTATATATAACTCAATTATTGGGTGAAACGGTTGTGTCCTTTCCCCTGTGTAACATCTAGAGCAAGTAGACTAGCTACACTAGGCTGCTAGGTGTCTGTGAAAGAGCTCTGTTGAGGTGTAGTGAAGGAACTAACCTCTTAGCCACACACCAGCACCTCTTCCTGCAGCAGGAAACAGACTGCAGAGGATGGAGGAGATGTACAGAGATGTTTGTCTGTTACATCCCTGACGAAAGCGCATGCCTTTGTTACGCTTTAGGGTTATTGTCCTCCCTGGCCCGAATTCCAGGCTGTGTAGTAAAAGTGAAGCCAAAAAGACTCAGCAGAGCATGAGGGGCGTGTGTTTGCACGGTTTCAGTATGTCTCTAAATTTCAAACTGATACTTCTGCACCATAACAGGATCTATGTAGTGCAAGTTGGTAGAAGTCTTGGTGTTTATTGTACGTGCATATCTATGTTTGTGTTGGATTTCTCAACAAAACGTGTGTATGTGTTTAGGATATCCTGTAAGGATCTGAAGAGCATGCTGAGCCAGGTCAACTACAGGGTGCCCAACATGAGGTTCCTCCGAGAGAAACTTCCGGTAACCTCCTTCTACTTATCATAGACCCCCTCTTCCACTCCATCTCCCTGCCCACTTCCTTTTCAATATGATGTTGCTAAAGGCTAAAGATTTATGATTTGTCGTTAACGGTCCTTTGCTTTCCCTCTTGTTTTTTTTTTTTTTATAGGACTCAGAATTGAGGAATGGAGACGTGTCCTTCAGCCAGTTTGCCCAGCTCTATCGCAGCCTCATGTTTGATGCTCAGAAAAACGTAAGTGCAATCATTTTATCTCTGTACAGATAGTTCTGTCCCAGCACTTTCATCCCCCAGCTCCCCATCTGATGCCCTGCCAAGGCACCCTTCATCCCCCATCTGTCTGTTCTCAAATGGCTGCGAGATCAATATGGACCAGTTAAAAACCCACCAAACCCCTCTGGTGGAGGCCATTAGGACAAACACACACACTCTCACATGGATGAGGAGGCAGGCAGGCTGGGTGAGGTCAGATTAAATGGATGACCTCAGTGCCCCCCACGACTAACCACCCAGCCCCCTACAGGATGTCGATGTCCATCTACATGAGTAGTACTATACTAGGGATGCTCGATATTGGCTTTTCTGCTGATATCCGATATTCCAATATTGTCCAACTCTCAATTTCCAATACTGATATCACCCGATACCGATATATGCACGCTTTTTACACCAAAACTGTTAGGTAACAACATAACATATCTCCTATTGTGGAACACATTATGCCTACGTGCTAATCGCTAGCTAAGCGTTAGCTTTGGTTAATGTGTTTGTGTTAATATTAAAATCATTCAGCTTTAAATTGTTTGCTTGTTAGCCACGGTTAGCAACCAACCAGTCTAGCGTGTAGTTGTTGTTGTAATACGTCATCTAACGCACCGATAAACGTCCCATGCTGCGTTCATGCAGGCTCGGAAATGCTGAAGCCTACAGAACAAACATCGGTTATATGGCTGTGGCTCAGAGGCAGAGTGGGTCGTTCCTTTATCGGAAGGTTGTGGGTTCGATCCCCGGCTCCTGGTGCCACATGTCGAAGTATCCTTGAGCAAGATACTGAACCCCAAATTGCTCCCGATGCCGTGCATCGGTGTGTAAATGTGTATGAATGTTAGCTTCTGTTCGATGGACTTTGCCATCACTGTGGCACGTAGTGTAAAAGCGCTTTGAGTGGTCGGAAGACTAGAAAGGCGCTATACAAGTACAGGTCCGTTATAAAAACCTGATACCGATAATTCCCGATATTACATTTTTAATGAATATCGGCATCCCTATACTATACACAATGAAAGGACAGCACTTTCAATAATTAACAAACATTTTGCCAATTCTTTCAGATGGAGATCCCATTTCTACAGAGGTAAGTTAAAAGTAAACACACACACACACACACACACGTGCACAGTGAATCTCTCTGCAACCTCACAGATGTGTGTTAACTGAAGCGAACCATCACTTTCTCTGCTGCCAGGTTCATTGACAGACCAGAACAGAGGGTCTCCCTCGACGACTTCAAGAGTTTCCTCCTGGAGTCTCAAAAGGTAATATCTCCAGGTCATTGGACATCCAGTTCCCTGCAGATTTGTTTCATTTGCATGTTTCAATACACCTATGTTTTCATGTGAATCCAGGAAATGTGGGCCACAGACAACAGCAAGGTTCAGGAGTTTATGTTCGGTTACCTTAAAGACCCCCTGAGAGAAGTGGAGCAGCCTTATTTTCACCAAGACGAGGTACGAACACCCCTCCCACATTCTTTTTACCCCTTTTTCTTGATTCTCTTCATGCTCTTTTCTGGGTCTTTGCTCACTAATGGAAAACATTTTAATGTGTATTTGCAAGTTATGTTTTCCGATGCCCCCCGCCCCCCCAAACACACACCTCCTTGTTGTTGTGGGTGGGCGATTTTGACATGGATAGCCATAATCTCGGCCTAAAGCACCTCCTCCCACACAGATAGAAAAGGTTATTGACTGAGAGTTCTGCAGAAAGCGAAGGATGCTTTTTGTGGTCACCATAAAGCTATGATTGACTAAAGAGAAGAGGAAGCTGGTGCAAGCCAGCCTGCAAGAGTTGGTACTGTCTTTATGTGCCCTCAATTATATTGTGTTACATAGCAGGTGTACAGGCCTTGGTCATGCTGAGAATAACCCCTGAAGAGGGAAAAACTGTTGTATAAGAAGAACAGTTATTGTTGTTGTACATAACCGTGCTGCTGGAGCTAGGGATTCAGCAATTTGTGTACTGATAGGACAGAAAATGCCACTACTCATTTGACTTTGAAACAGGTTGAATCTAAACATCTCCCGTCTGGACTTGAGGCCTGAACTCTTGCAGACTTCAGTCAGACATTCTGTGAGCCTAAAGTGCTCATTGTATCAAGTCTGCGAGAGTGCTTGTCCACGAGGTGATAGAAACACGCTCTGTTGGACTGGATCTCAAACTTTGCTCGTTTTTTTTGTTTCACCAATCTCAGTTATTTTCTCAATAGTTTCTAATGGTATTCAAATTATATATGTGCATGGTTTGCTGCTCTACATAGTATAAAAAGAGATGGATTATAACTGATATGCACAATAAAATGTTCCTTTTACATTAGCATTAGCCTAATATTATATTAACATTATTCTTACAATATAGCTGATCAGATTAGTTTTTTCTTAACTGGATGAAAGCCTCTGCAAATCATACCAAACAAATAAAAACAATCAAGATAATGCATAATCTGTATGTGTAAAATCAGATCTAATTTATTACTAACTTCTGACATTTATTTAATGTGTGCATAATTTGCCCACTAGACAACTCCTCCATGGTGTTCTGAGCATTGTTTTACACACTGGTGGTGTTTACCAAATGCATGTGTTCTAATATAATCCAATATAATAGTTCAGGTGAATTCATGCACTGAAATGTGCAATGTAAGTTTATTGTACGTTGATTGCGTTGTTGCAGCTTAGGTTTTGAGAGAACAGTACTTAAATATGGATGCTTCATCACTCGTAAATATGGCAGAACATTGTTTATGTAGAATACTTTTGGTGCAGACACAGACTCAACGATCCGGGTGGTCTAAGGCTGGATCAGATCCTGGCAGTGTACTTCCCAGAAACACAGTTTCTCAGTTAAGTCTGCAAGTGTGGGAAAACACAACCACACATTTGAATTCAACCTCATTCTCTCTGCTCACCTCTCTCCTGTCTAGCTCCTGACATACTTGTTCTCCAAAGAGAACACCATCTGGGATTCCTCCCTGGACCAGGTGTGTCCTGATAACATGAACAACCCCCTGTCCCACTACTGGATCTCCTCTTCGCACAACACGTAAGGATAGATCCCATAGTTTTCATGGGTACATTTTATTATATAAGAAAGCTTCCGTCAAGTTCAACCAGTTGTAATTAGGCCTTGGGAAAGCTTAAAGTCTGGCATCCTCTCTTGAAAACCTCTAACCAAACGGGGCTTTTGAACTGGCTTCATACATCAGATAAAAGTGTATTATTTAACAATTATGTTCCAGAATGAAATCTAGGCGTGTATTTTTCAGGAAAATGTATTTTTCCTGCCATTGAAAAGTGTGTGAAAGGCAGTTCAGATGATAACCTTCTGTACTAGACTTGTAAAACAATGCTCATTGGAGCAGCGGAATGAAAACTTCCCATGTTGCTTTGATTAGGTTGGAATTGACCAACTGAATGAGTACGAAGTGTTTATTCTAGTCAACAAAAGAGAGAGAGCCCTTTTGATACAAGAGTATCAATGTGTTTGTGCAACCACCATAGAAAGTGTGTGTGTGTATGTGTGTGAGGCAGTCCTTGACGTGTGAATCCTTTTGAAAGACTGGTTAGTGTGTTATTGTGTGCGTACTTTGACGTTACATGCTTATTTTTAGCTACCTGACGGGAGACCAGATATGCAGTGAGTCGTCCCTGGAGGCATACGCTCGCTGTCTGAGGATGGGATGCCGCTGTATTGAATGTGGGTAAACAAACACGCACTGTACTTTTACCCTACGTACAGTAAATTACTACCACTTGACTTTCAACCTCGTAATTAACTCTTATCCCTTACAGTTCTACTTTTAATGCAGTCGCCACACCCTTACCAACACACTGTCTGTTACATAACAGTGCTGTGTATGGCCTATACACCAAACCCTTGTCAAGCAGGTTTCCATGAATAGGACTGGCTTATAGTAGGTTAAAGGGTCTCTTTGCCTCCTACAAAAGTTAACAAACATGTCATAAACTTGTGTGCATTCAAGTTTAAAGGTCTTGAGTGTATACTTACTCTCTTGTATGTAGCATAGATTAAATGACATTGCGTGTGTGTGTGTATTTTCAGTGGACTGCTGGGATGGTCCAGATGGAATGCCAGTCATCTACCACGGACACACCCTCACAACAAAAATCAAGTTTTGTGATGTCTTGACCACCATCAAAGAGCATGCCTTCGTCACATCTGAGTGAGTCTCCATGAGCGCAAGCCATTTTATTTTTTACAGCCACCAGTGGCGATGAGATGACAAAGATAAAGAAACAGACGTATCAAACGGAAACAATGTGAACAGGCTGCAGTGACATCATTGTAGTATGTGAGAAAATAAGATAAGGAAGTCACACCGGAACACAGATAAAAGGGGAATTTTTGTGAAGTGGCACATCTTAATTAAGTCCTAATCTGTGGTCCTCCTACAGCTATCCCATCATCTTGTCCATCGAGGACCACTGTAGTATTGTGCAGCAGAGGAATATGGCCACTTACTTTAAGAAAGTGTTTGGAGACATGCTGCTGACCAAGGCGGTGGATATCGCAGCAGATGGCCTGCCCTCACCTAACCAGCTCAAAAGGAAGATCCTCATCAAGGTCAGCAGCCACCCGGAGAAATCATCATCTTTTTGTGCCATTTTGTGTCCGCAGGAAAAAAGTATGAACAAATGCTTTGTAAAGTGTTCTGATGGTATAATGTTTCTGATTGTCTCTCCTCCTCTCCCTTCATATGCTGCAGCATAAGAAGCTTGCAGAAGGCAGTGCCTATGAGGAGGTATCCACCTCCAATCCCTACTCAGAGAACGATATCAGCAACTCCATCAAAAATGGCATCCTCTACCTGGAAGACCCCATTAACCATGTAAGCACATTCATCATGTGTAAATAGACTCTGGATGCTGCATCAGGACGGACGCTGACACCCGAAATATGATGCACTGAAGTAGCTTCTATACCAAACCTGTTTTGCATGTTGTACCAATTCTTGAAGGACCAGTGTGTAGCATTCAGTGGCATCTAGCGGTGAAGTTGCAACCATTTTAATACAGCTCAGTCTAGTGGGTAAGAGATACTACAGTGTCTGCGAAAAACGCAAAAGGTCCTATCTAGACCCAGTGTTTGGTTTGTACTGTAGAAACATGATGGCTCAACATGATGTACACCAACTGTACATAAAAAAAAAAAACTAATTCTAAGTTGATGAAAATGCATCTATTCTTATTTTCTGTTGATTATACATATATATATAGTATGATTATTATATTCCATCTCTGCCAATAGATCCTCCTAAATGTTACACTCTGGACCTTTTTACGTGTTTGGATTTTAGCTATAATTAAATACCACTCTTTTCTGTTTAACATTTATTTTATAACTGGAACCCACTTGTTTTTAGATCCAGGTCTTGACTTTATGAGCTGCTTTCCTCTGTCTTTTAGTCTTTTAGATGATTCAATTCCTACATGAGCCACTTTTCAGTGCGACACATGGATCCTCTAAATATTTAATCAAACCGTTTAAACTAACTCTCTCCCCCCCCCCCAGGAGTGGTACCCTCATTTCTTTGTCCTGACCAGCACTAAGATCTACTACTCAGAAGAGACCTCAAGTAACCAGGGCAACGATGATGAGGAGGAGCACAGAGAGGTTAGTAGGCCTGATCTGTTGTTGATATACATAGAAATGAGAATCACTAGTCCTGATTTTGAACTTGTAACAGGATATGTGCTACCCAAGACATTGCACTTCATATTTTTATTATATATATATATATATATATAATTAGTATTTTCTGTAGAGATTACAGGCAATTTTTGTTTTTAAATATTCAAAAACGTGGAAACAATTTTAAGCTGGTGCAGCTTAATGAATGTAGACATATGCTTGTGAAACACTATAGATGTCAGATGACCAACATCTCCCTCTCTTTTCTAATCATCCAGGTGTCCAACGGTATGGACCAGCATGTGACGGAGAAATGGTTCCATGGGAAGTTGGGTGCAGGCCGGGATGGGCGACAGATAGCCGAGAGGTTACTGTCAGAGTACTGCCTGGAGACTGGCGCTCCTGACGGCTCCTTCCTGGTCCGAGAGAGCGAGACCTTTGTGGGAGACTACACACTGTCTTTCTGGTATGGTGTACATAATATTGCATTTGTAGTATCTGCAAACTTTCTACACATTTTACACAGACTTCAACAGCATTTGTTTGGCAATATTGAACTGTTTAGACAATATATACAAGGTTAATGGTAATGATAGGAAATGGACAGTGAATGCTGCTTACTGCATGTAACTGAATAATTAAAAAAATAATAATAATTTCGAAATTTACAGATAGTATTTGCTGTTTACAATAAGAAACAGATGATAATATCACAGATACATGTTTTTATCATTGAGTAAATGTTGACTGGATGTAGCCTCATGCTGTATGTGTTGTGGGAAACTCTCCCTTGTGTCAATAGACCGTACTCTGTATGTTCTGTAGAGTTAACTCATGCCAACTCAGTGGCAGATCAGTCAATGTCAATCACTCCATCATTAATTGAAAGAGGTTGTTGTCACGGTCTGAAGTGTGATCCATTACCTTCTGTCTCTTAGTGCAAATCCTCTGCATGAGTGGAGGTACCTCAAAGCTAATCAATCTGTGTGTATGTGATTTGCACACAATGTATGGAAACAATGCTCAGACACACAGAGGATGGTATGTTCAATGTTAACAAGGGGGATGGTGAAGTGTATACGTACTAATAGAGCTAGTGCCGGATGAATCGGTACACTGGTTGTAATTTCCTGTATGATATACATTTTTCATATACCACCATACCGGTGCATAGTTGAAACAACTGTTATAACTTTTCAATAGGCAGCAATATTGTTTTTGCTGTGAAGAGCTCTACGGTCGGCATATAGGGTGTATTGAGAGGGGAGCCCTAACAACTGCATATCCTTCCTAATACTAACTCTCTTTAAGGGGGCAAAACACTGGCACAAAACAACTTCTGACCATTTGTTTCTTACTGCAATTGAACATTTAAGAAATATCTCTTTGGATACTTAAATACTTGGAGTATCTTATGTCAGTTTATAATGTTTATACAGTTATTTGAAATATTTTGTTTCAAAAAGAGTGATTTTATTGTTTAGAATTAGCTGCTCACATCTTTGGCCATACCCCACCCAGTATTATAATGACCTGTAAATAAACTAAAATGTTTTTTAAAATGTTGACCTCACATCCTTTTTTTTGTTGTTGTCAGGCGTTCAGGGCGGGTGCAGCACTGTCGTATCCACTCTCGTCAGGAGGCAGGAAGCCCCAAGTTCTACCTGACTGACAACCTGGTGTTCGACACGCTCTTTGCCCTCATCACCCACTACCAGCAGGTGGCGCTGCGCTGCAACGAGTTTGAGATGAAGCTGACTGAGCCGGTGCCTCAGACCAATGCTCACGAGAGCAAAGAGTGAGTCAAGCAGCATTCACACTGGTTGGAAATAATTTAAAATTATAAAGCACTGAGAACCTTAAGTGATGTATGGTTTTTTTTAAGGTGTACCATCTCATTCAATAAACTGGAAATTCATGTTCGTCCCCATTTTTGCTTCAATTCTAAATAACAATTTATAACCACAGTTCACAATGTCTACTGATAGCTGACTTTGTCATCTAGAATGAAGAAGAGGTATGAAGTGACAAAGTTGCTTCCCTGAAGTTATTTGCTGTCTATTTATGTTTTGTTGTTTATCCCAGGTGGTACCACGCCAACCTCTCCAGGAGCCATGCAGAGAACATGCTGATGAGGGTTCCTCGTGATGGGGCTTTCCTTGTGAGGAAGAGAGCAGAACCCAATTCGTTTGCCATTTCTTTCAGGTAACTTAGTCCTCCTGCTAAGTCATTTAGGTACGTCTAACTTCATTTTTTGTGTACAAGGATGACTGAAGAGAACGACAAAGACTTATAAGTCTTAGGAAATTCTACATTAAAACCACAGTTAAGTTTCCAAGTGTAACTAATATTCAAATTAGGGATGATCTCAAAGATTGGTATCAGGACCGATCAAGGCATTTTTTATTTCATCTTCATTGGGCTATTGTGAGCCTGACTTGATCCTTTATTTTACATCAGCTGTCACACTGGTGTTTTTACTTGCAAGGCTTTCAGCCACAGCAACGCCACAGGTGCAGCTGTTGTCAACTCTCCGCTGTCTGTCTCTCCACCATTCTTCCACGCCAACGACCAGCATTTTGCTGCAGGTGGGGCCCAGCCTGTGCTCGGAAGGGAGACAAACAGTGGTACAGAGCTGATGACAACCACACTCACCACACCACTGCAAGTGCAACAAAAAGCCCCACAAGCAATAAGCCAATACGAATAATTTATTAATGTAAACCACACAAAAGATGTACAAACTACGAAAATAAACACAATACAGTTCATTCAGGTAACTTAAAGAGAAATACCATCGAGACAGCCACAAGGCCAAACAGATTTCAGAGAGGTTTTGTTTTTTTATACTTTATGTTGTGAGAAGAAAAAAAACAACAACATTGAGGAACAACTTCGATGCAGGCTTTTTTTTTTTCTTAATACAATGCAAAGCTAATAAATTGTCAAGCATATACATAGAATTGATTTTAATAACTTAAATCACTAATGTACTGTATTATGTAAGAAAATTAAGTAAAATGTAAGTATTGGATTGGGTCGCGCTATCTGCAGTACCCAATATTAAAAAACTGATAGGGATCAGGGACAAAAGAAAAACTTGATTGGGACACAATAATTGAAAAGAATGCAAAGTCATGAATATGATGTCTGTGGTTTCTTCACAGGGCCGAGGGAAAGATAAAGCACTGTCGCGTTCAGCAGGAGGGTCAGACCGTGGTGCTGGGCACCTCAGAATTTGACAGCCTAGTAGATCTCATCAGCTACTATGAGAAGCACCCTCTGTACCGCAAAATGAAACTGCGCTATCCCATCAATGAGGACACACTGGAGAAGATAGGCACTGCTGTGAGTACCACTATGCAATCAATGGCACATGTAGTAGAGATTAATGAACTGCTGCCTCAGATTAGATAATTTCTAATCTGAAAAAATGTGACATGTAAAAGTCAGTAATTTGCATTCTGTAGTAAAATCCCCTGCAGCCTTGCGAAAAGGCCTATTAACACACAATCTGTCGTCCAATAGGAGCCAGACTACGGGTCACTGTACGAGGGCAGGAATCCTGGCTTTTATGTGGAAGCCAACCAAATGCCAACATTTAAGGTGAGTGTGTTCATGTGTATTTGAATTACACCATTGGACTTGTATATAGCAAAGAACGAACATGTGTGTCTGCCTTGTCTTTTCAGTGCACAGTGAGAGCCATGTACGAGTATAAAGCCCAGAGGGACGATGAGCTCTCCTTCACTAAGAACGCCATTATCTCTAATGTGGACAAACAGGAAGGAGGATGGTGAGTGACATGCATAACATTAATTCAGGAAGTAGCTCTTAATTATCCTTTTGGACAAATCCATTTTGTGCAGGTAGAGAGCGAAGGCTTATGACAGGGTGAATTATACAGGATGGGACTATGTTGTAATATTGATCCAATGTTCATCATTTTAAGGCCACAGTGTTATAAATATTTACAAAACTACACCCCCTTTTCTTCCCAACATATCATTTGTCTTCTTTTTATTTTGTATCAGGTGGAAGGGTGACTGTGGAGGGAAGAAGCAGCTGTGGTTTCCTGCTAACTACGTGGAGGAGATCAGCCCATCAACAGCAGAGCCTGACAGAACTGTGAGGATCAAACCCACAAACCAAGAGGGCTACAAATACACATTTGTATATTTGAAGTGTAATTAGTATTCCTGTAGTCCTGCACAGGAAGTTTGGGTCTCGTCTGTTAATCATCCACTGTGGTACAGATACACATGGGTATGTAATGTGGATTGTGGCTTCAAAATGAGCATCAACTCCTTTCCTAATCCTTCTCTTCTCTGTCAAGCAGGAGATGACAGAAAACAGCCCTCTGGGAGATATGCTGAGAGGAAGTGTGGACGTGTCTTCCTGTCAGATTGGTGAGTGGCCCCTCCACTTCCTGTTCGCCTCTGTGCTGCGGGGCTGCAGAGCAGGCAGTCACCTTGCCACAGGGCAACCTCCTTCTCTGTCATATGCATGCACATAATCTCTGCCCTCTTTGTTTTTAACTGCAAAAGGACACAGTCACCACTTTCTTTACTGTAATTCTTGTCCATTTTCAGCCTCTTCTATCATTTAATTTTTTCCCTTTTTTGTTTTATTATTACTGTTTTTCTCACAGCTCACTCACACACACATGCACAGATCTGGTATTTTATTGACATCCTCCAGTCTAGTCAATACACACCCATTTGTGTTGGCACATGCTGTCACGCATTGTTGTGGCCTCTGCTAAACACAATTAATACCTGATCCCTGTCTCGGTCTTTGGGTGGCTCTTTGGCTCCATCTAGTGGTGATCTGGGAAAGATCTAACTAGAGCTTCTTGAACACTTTGTTCCAAGGCTTCCCTCACGTGACCACTGGCAGAATCACACCAGTGTAAGCCATTGTTTTCCTATGGAGAAAGTGATTACGCTGAACCTCAAGCAGGGCTGTTGTTTGTGTTGCACATCACTTGGCTTTAACGCCATGCTACTGTGCTCAAAGATCAAACTTTAACCTTGTTCACCTCTGACCTTTTTCTAAAGTGCGTTCAATCAGATTACAGCCGACTAAGAAGTTTAAACCCAGAGAAGGAGAGGAAAACAGTTTGAGTTTTAATAGGAAAGGAAACCTCCTCATTCCCATTTTTTATGCCCTTTTTCTAACCCTTCTCTGTATTTTATTTTCAGTCGTGCGTACTGATGGGAAGGGCAGCAGGCCTCATGTCTTCTCCCTTGTACCAAATGCCTCCATGCGGACGGGACCAGTGCTGGACGTCGCTGCCAATAGCCAAGAAGAACTCAAAGAATGGGTGTTCAAGATCCGTGAGGTCACCATGACCTCAGAGGCCAAGGTAAAATATATATATCACATGGCTGACATAAAATGCAGGCCAAGACTCATACCATACTCATGCCACATTGTGGGTTCAAAGGGCCAGTCATGACTTGTGTTTGCCCTATAATACCCATAACCTGTATTTAGGAAACACTGTCTGAGCACTGAGCACATATGGTGTCTATCAGGAATGCCATTCTGCAGACTCACAGAGTTACACGCATTCACACCTGGAAGCTGTCTTGTCTTTGCTTAGTACAACCTCCTGAGCAGCAGTAGTTGTTGAATGGAGGAAAAAAGAAAAAAGCTTCAGGCTAGCGTCAAACTTAATTCTGTGAAAATACAAACAGAGAAGTTGTGTGTGTGTGTGTGTGTGTGTGTGTGTGTGTGTGTGTGTGTGTGTGTGTGTGTGTGTGTGTGTGTGTGTGTGTGTGTGTGTGTGTGTGTGTGTGTGTGTGTGTGTGTGTGTGTGTGTGACTGTATGATGCAGCTGTACTTAAAGCTTGTGTCCCTGTGCCCAGCTGGAGGAGGGGAAGATGATGGAGAGGAGGAAGAAGATTGCACTGGAATTATCCGATCTGGTCATCTACTGTAGGCCCGTGCCGTTTGATGAAGACAGTAAGGATTGTACACACTTTCTGGACTGTGAACACACAGTGTAATATGCACGGAATAGAGATGTGACTGATTTCATACCTATGACCTAATACAAATAGGCACATGTCCAATATCAATACAGGTAGATGAGATCTGTATTCTCTCTCCCTCCTTCCTGTAGAGATTGGCACGGAGCGGGCCTGTTTCCGGGACATGTCATCTTTCCCCGAGACCAAGGCAGAGAAGTACGTCAACAAGATCAAGGGGAAGAAGTTTCTGCAGTACAATCGACTGCAGCTGTCCAGGATCTACCCCAGAGGCCAGAGACTGGACTCCTCAAACTACGACCCTCTGCCCATGTGGCTCTGTGGGTCCCAGCTGGTAGCACTCAACTTCCAGACAGCGGGTATCTACCTCCTTGTCAGAGCAGATAAAATAGCACAGAAGATCATAGTTGTCTTACTCTTCCTTACTCCTTTTCTTTTTTTAACCTTCCTCTTCCCTCCCCACGTGCAGACAAGCCCATGCAGATGAACCAGGCTCTGTTCATGCTGAATGGAAGGAGCGGCTACGTCCTTCAGCCGCCTATCATGAGAGATGACAGCTTTGATCCCTTTGACCGACATACGCTAAGAGGCCTCGAACAAGTCTCCCTAGAGATAGAGGTACAGTAAAGTGAGGATGTAGTGCCCCAGAGTTGAAGCGGGGGAGTGAAGCGAGAGATGTGAGGCAAAGATTCTGCATGAGGTGAAAAGAACAGGTGCATGCCGGTGTCTTAAGATGATTATTGTAGTTTGACCCATTTATCGTCACGGACTGGAGTGGCAGCGGCAACTGTGACACAATTCATGCAGGGCAATTAAGGTACTTAGCTCCCTTAGCTCCTGATTGCCGCAAATGTGTGTCTTCTAGGAGTCATTACTCCAGATGTGCACACACAGACAGTATGCACATATTTTTAGATTCAGTATGACTTGCTCTTCCCAAGGATATGATTATGCAAATAAACACCCATAAATCTGCTTGGAAATTATAGAAAAAGATGCTCCTTATAACTCCAGAAAATGTTAAAGTTTTCTTTAGTATCAAAGTAATCCAGTCACAGGTGTCTGTGCATCCATGGCTACATTACAAACAGGAACTGCAAATAGCTACTTCTTGCTTTTAATTTTGCCGGGTTGCCAAAATGTAAACAAGTGTAGTGGGAAGATCGATTAGAATAACCTGTATTCCTCTTCTTCTCCTCTGAAGGTTTTGGGCGCCCGGCACCTGCCCAAACACGGACGTGGCATAGTTTGCCCCCTGATAGAGATTGAGGTGTGCGGGGCAGAATATGACAGTGCCAAGCAAAAAACTGACTCAGAAGGTAAGTGCTGCTTTAATTTTAACAATGGGTATGTCTGCCAGTAAAATTATACTCTGCCAAAACCAAAGGAATGAGATACTGTTTACTGGATGCATTACCCTTGTGTAATTTCCTGTCTGGTCCTAGAAAAACAGGAAGTTGTACAAACAACTAAGCCATGTGTGGGAATACAAAGAGAAAACATTGGTCTGTTCTGGCACAGCTCTCATCAGGTTTTATGCTCTGGGTTTAGCCAAAGAAGACGCGTTGCAATATAAGGATATTTGTTTTGTTGGTTTATAATATAGATTTAGTTTTCCACATAACAGTGCTGTGGAATTGTATTTGCACTTTTACTCTTCTATTCTAATATTGCTGTACTCGGTAATAAAAAAAAAAAAGTGAATACTTTTGTTACTTTTGTTAATTTTACCATCTAAAATGTGTACTAATCTATTAGTATACCTACTGTATCTTTTTAAGAAAGATGGTGATTGTATCATAGATGTGTTGTAGAATGAAAAGAAAGAAAATCGATCTAAGTAAAGTAGTTTTAGCATGTATTGCAGAAGTTGAGGCTTTCTCTTCGTTATCCTTAATGGGATGCGGTTCTTTTACAATCACTTTGAGATGGGAATGTTTTCATACAACAGATTGATTGCTTGCAGGGTTTGACAGCTGATTCTGACCCTGTTTACAATGAAATACTTTTATATAGCATAGATTCAGAGTAATTAGGATTTCCCTGTGCATTTAAGGTTATCTCTTCTGTACTCTGGTTCTTCCAGCAGAAGGAGCAATAAGCTAAGGCAAAATAATAGACTTTGACACCATTTTTTTTTTTGTGTGCTGTAGTGTAATTAATCTGAAATTTATACAGTAACAGCTGTGATGAATACATATGGTACACTCATCTTTCTCTTTCCTCTTTTTATTTTTTCCTCTCCAGCTGACAACGGTCTGAACCCCACATGGCCACGAAAGCCATTCCAGTTCACAGTGTGCAACTCTGCCTTTGCCTTCCTGCGCTTTGTGGTTTATGAGATTGACATGTTCAATGACCAAAACTTCCTGGCTCAGGCCACATTCCCCATTCACAGCCTCAAAACAGGTACACACAACAATGATGTGCTCAATAATGTGCTCTCTCAAATGACCTTAAATCAGTGCTGTAAAAAAAGCTGTAAAAGCTATTTGTCTCTGTCTCTTTACATGACGACAGGTTACCGGTCAGTACCTCTGAAGAACAGCTACAATGAGGATCTGGAGTTGGCTTCTCTGTTAGTCCACATGGACATCATCAGAGGCAGGGTAAGCTCCTGTTCTTTACTCAGCCTTTCTTAAACCCGCCTCATGACGTCTTTGCCACTAACAAAACACTACAGGCATAAAAAAAAAAACACGTCTGAGAAAACATACAGAATTACAATTTTTTTGTGGTCCTCACATATCCCTGAAATGTAGTTCATAATACATTATGTAATTAGAGCATATGCACATCACATTTCTTGGCTGGGCGTGGTCATTTCCAAGACGATACTGCATCTGCCAAGTAATAATCTGACACGTGTCGGTTTATACTTCAGTTTTTATTACCTTCGGACAGAGGCCAGGCTAGCTGTTCTTTATCGTTTCTGGTCTTAATGCTAAGCTAACCCTCTACTGGCGGTAGCTTTATATTTACTGTACGGACATGTAAAGCTTGACAAAAAAGTTAATAAGCGTATTTCCCAAAATGTTAAACTGTTCCTTTAAAATGAGCCTGTGTGTTAATTCTATGGGAGCAGATCAGAAGCGTATATTTAACTATAAATCATGAACACTCGGAACAATGGAGGCCTCTGGAGTTGACACTTTGGTATGTGAATAATCTCCCCTGTTCTCTCAGGATGAAAACGGAGAGGTTCTGAGCCCGTTCCTCGCAGCCGGGGCCACTACGGTTTCACCATCTGCCCAAGCAGGGCGGGAACGTTCGGGGGAGTTGACCACAGTGTCTTCGACTTCCTCCAACATGTCCCCTCTGCCACAGTCTCCGGCACAGGCCACGGCCTACAGGGGGAGGGAGGGCTCCTTTGAATCCCGCTACCAGTCGCCTCTAGATGATTTCAGGGTGTCCCAGGAGGCACTGTTGGACCACATGGACCCACAGAACAGAAGGTAAAGGTGTGGTGTGTTGGTTTTTTCGTGCCTGTGCAGTGAGTTTCGAAGCCGGAGAAGATTCTAGACATCCTCTTGTCTTTGTCTTTACCTCAGGATGTTGCGGAGGACCAGAGTGGGCGGAGAGAACCGCGTTTAAGTCCAAGCCAATCAGGACGCATTTCTGTTGCACCCCTCCTCACCCCCTCCTCACCCAGTCGCCTCTCCCCGTACTGATGATGTCACTGACTGCTGTGAACACTGTTTCCATGGAAACGCCCACCACCGCTTTGGCCTACATTTCAGGCAGCTCTCCCTCCCTTCATTCTCCAACTGCCCCCCCCCTCTCTCTCTCTCTAGCTCCCTCTCTCTGTCTCTCTCTCTCTCCCCTGCCTGCTACCCAGCCTCCTCACCACTTGGGGGGCGTGGGGAGGAGGGGAGGGTGAGAGGAAGCTGACCACTGCGGACAGGAAGAAGAAACGGACATTCACAGGAGAACAAAAACAAGGCTGAAAAAGTTCCAGCTCTGGACTGGTGGTTTCTGGGGCAGGTTGTCCTCTCTTGTGTTTTAGGTGTGCACAACAGCTGCTTAGTCTGGAGGCTAAGAGGAGGGAAAGAGAGAGAGTTATAAAAGGTATCAGTTTGAAACTGTTTCCCGGTTAAGTTTCTTTGCTCTTCTCTATTTGGCGTATATGAATATATGTATTTATTCCTGCTGTGCTGTTGGCCAGAGAACAGCAGCAGCTGACCTGCTCTCAAAGAGCTCCTGTCTCCATGTTTTTAATTATTATAATTATTTAAACCTTTAAACATTCATAATGTGACTTTTCTTTTTTTTTTTATGTATGTGTAAAACACGAGGGCTCTCTACGGCAATTTTAATGTCTCTCTCTTTTCTGCTTTGTGGAGGAAATTATGCGCCTCCAGTCTAACTCACACCCTAAACCTGGAGGAATACGTCATTCTTTTTTTTTTTTTCAAAGGCAACAGGAAGAAGTCATAGCCTGTTTGTGTTGGAAGCAGTGAGAGAGCAGGCAGCATCATATGTTATGCCTGCATACACAAACACACACACATACATACACACACAGGCTTTTTTAAAATTATTTCTAACTCACATTCCTAAAAACTGCACATCATTCCATTTTCCAGGCGCCTTTACAAAGCCAGTCTCACACACTCAAACTTCTGTCTCCCTCAATAGTCTTACTCCTCAATGATCATGTCTGAAGGGGATCTGGCACCACACTGTGTGACAAAGCAGGACCAGGGATACATGTTGAGTGTGAATGGTATTGTGATCACAACTGTTGATTTTTGCTTGTATCATCTACTAACATGTTTATTGGTCATTTTAATGGTGGCACAGTTGTCAGTCAAGGGATAGTTCGTAAGGCTGCAAGGTTACAGCTGAAATGGCGATATGGATAACCCAACTGGATAATTAGATCAATTTCCGAAATCTGTGGTTTGAGGAACACAATTATGTACTCACATTTTCATTTACAGGGAACATCGTGAATGTTTCAAATTTGTCAGTGTACTATACTGTAATTATGGAAATTAAGATTGTAATGCGATTACATGATTTGCAGCCCTGTTTCCGTGATTCATGATGGAATATTTCACAAATGTGGTTATTTTTACTGAAATACAAATGATGGCCCCTTTAATTCTGTGTTTTGAATGAGTTGAGCAGAACTACTCCCATAACTGACACAGCTCTCTGACTACAGTGAATATAAAAACTGTCACTGTTTTCATTCAGTATTTGTGATATGTATGTTTTAGTTCCAACAGAAGTCTCTGACAAGTTGTTTTGCGGCAACTAGCTTGTTTTATATTTTTTACATTTGTACAATAATAGTTCCCCAATGTTTGAAAAGAAATCCGTTATTGTCGACCAACAGTGACCAAGTGAGAAGGTTCACATTGCCAGTGTGAGGCACAAAGAAAACTACGATCTACGATCTCTGCTGGTACATTTTGCTGCACCACAAAGACATAAGGCAGCTTTTGTGTTCGTGCTGCTGCAGTGTTCTGGGGAGTTTTGTCACAGTACCAAGCTGCTTCCCAGAAAGCAGTGAGGATTTTAAGTTACACTACCGTGATATACAGTCGAATCGCCACTGCCCATTAATTAATTTGAGATGAAATGTGCAAAATTTGCAGACTTTGTGTAAACAACTGGCTGATGGCTGAATGTAAAACGCTGCACGTCACCATTCACCATTCCCAAAACTATAGACTGTCATTCTGTCTTCTATTCATTAATGTTTGTCTAACTTGGTAGGTAGGACTTCTCGAGGTAGATGTTGATGCGCTTAAATGTGCACAGAGTTGTCATTTCCTGCGTTTGTGGTGTGAGCGAGGCGGAGTCTAAGCTTCAGACTTTGTTGTAGCTGTGTTTCTGTGGCTGATGGAGGACAAAGGTGCCTGGGGACGGGAGGGGAGGGTACGGGGGGGGGGTTAGAGATCTTTGGTCTGGGCCTTCAGTGAGCCCAGATAGAGCTCATATATAGCCAACGGTGTTATCTTTCCAGGTTTGTATCAGAAACAGTGTTTTCTTCTGCTCCTATGTGATGACTATATGATGTAAACTCAGTATTCTCCCTCAGTGTTTGACCACTGAGACACACCTAAAGCCATATGGTAGGATTTAAGTTAAGGTAAAAGCAGGGACAGGAGTGAATACTTGAGGTCTCAACAAATTTTTTTTTATCTTGTTGTGTTTGCACCCCAATATTAATCCCAAAGCTCCCCCATTTTACTTTTTTTCTCCCCCTCCTGTGGTCGATGAATGGTCTTTGTGGAGAGCTCTCCCTCCAATGCTGCATTGCTCTAATTGCTGACGTGTCCGCTAATGTCTTATGTGCCTCCGTCTGTATACACATCACATTAAAGCCACATCATTCACCTCCCCTGCCGGGCTTGAAGCATCTGCACAGCCATGGTACACCCACACAGGTGTTGTCACTTATTTTGACTGATGGGGACCTCCTCAGCACTGTGTGAGCACGTGTAGACCATGTTTATGTCCCTGACTCTACTGTTGAGTTTGTTGTACCTGTTGTCATGGCGGGACAACGTAAACTCTCCCACCAACCTGTAAAGAGGCCTAATCAAGCGGAATAACTAACTAAGGACCTATGTGGGTGTGCAGGGCCCTTAAGTGTCATTTGTTTTCGCTTTTTTTTTTTTTCTCCTCCAATCTTGTCTGTTTTGTTACTGATGGTCTCATTTACAAATCGCCTTTCTGTAATGTGCCTAAACTATATGGAGAGGAAAAGTATTCATTTTAATTTTGCCTTTCATATGAAACATATTCAAGCCTGAAAAGTAAATAAAATACTTACTACTTTATACTAATTTGTCTTATTTTTTACTGCATTAAAATGTTAGTTTGGATTTATTTTTTCTTTGAATGTACACTGTAATTGCAACAGAAAGAATTGGTTTCGTTATCTTCAGATGCTGCACCACAGGAAGAGTACTGAAGTTTCAGTCTTGTATGTGTGAACAGCGAACCACAAGCATTATTTCAGTTTATGTTGAAGGTCAGGCAGAAGTTATACTTAGAGTATCGCCACCCTTTCTGTAATTGTACACCATGAGGAAGATGCCCAATGACACTCATAGCCAGAAATTTATTACATTCTTGTTTATTCTGCAAATACCATCTGTAAAAATTATACATCAAGCCTAAGTATGGAACTCTGGTAAAAGTTCACAGTTCTTTTACAGTCAAATTTATTTCATAGGAAAGTTCCATAAAAACAAATGTACGTACACGTCAGTGACGTAAAGAAGCACTTGATGCTACAACACAAACCAGATTCCATACAGTCTACTATATTGTGTTGCTTTTTTCTTTAAACACAACAGGGTGCTTGCCTTCTTTGGATGATAGAACTGAACTATTTTTTTGTCTGATTGAACCAAACAATATGTACAGATAAGAAATGAAAATCAAGGGACGTTCCAAAAAAAAAATAAAAAAATCAGTGCTGTGTTTCACATAAGACTCTGAACAACCTTGCAAGCACATTTAAAGTAAGCTGCAAGCATGAAGTCAAAGTGTATGAGTGCAAGTTGGTAAGGGGAGTATGAAGATGACAATAAAAAAAATTTGATTTACTTTAAGGCCTAGGCAAGCACCCTGTAGCAAAGAGCTGTGCAGTTTTTCGTACCCCAAAACAAACTATGAACAGTCTCAACACTCCGCTGATCCTCGTCTAAGGGTTGTTTTGGTAGATAACTGTCCAAACCCCTGATCAACATCTGCTGAGGTCTGACTCTTGACCACACTTCTCCCTTTTTTCCCCCTCCTTGTCTTCCTCCAAATCTTTTTTTTGTTTTTTTTTTTCCTCCTCCTTTCTCCCATCACAGCAGGCAAGCGGAACAAACACGGCAGAAAAACGCGGTCAGCCCTGCCCCTCCCGCTCTACTGGAACTTCCTTCTGATGGGAAAATGGCCAACAGGAGGATACTGGAGAAGTCTGTGTAGCGGAGGGGGTGACACGACGGGAGAAGGAGGGACTGGGTGGATATGGATGGGGAGGAAGGGAGTGGAGGGGGTGTTAGTGGCTTTAGCGTCCATCTCACGTAGTGGGGGAGGTCAGGCCTACCTCTAGGGGTGTGAGCAAGAAGGAGAGGGGGAGAGAGAGAGAGAGGTGTTTGGGTGAGAATTGTTTCAAGGTCCATTTCCATCCAGTGATCCTGTTACAACCACATCTGCTGTCTTTTCCTCAGACTGCCAACACAAAGACCACCTGCGTTGTGAACTCCATCCTCAGAGAAAAGGCCTCTTCAATCGGTTCCTGTAGTAATTAAGAAGAAGAAATTAAAAATCCATCACCCTGACAACAGACTCCAGAAGTACGCATTTTCTACATGATTATACACAATGTACTGGCATCAGACGTATTTGTTTTCCTGTCACAACACGCCTCATTACTATTGTGCTTGTTGTGCGTTTGCATGTTTCACCTGAGAGACCATTTTACATTATGATTCATCTCTGATTCATCATCATTTATCACCATTTCACAACCAATTTCCTCATCACAATCAAAAACCTAATTAAAACTGAACCACTCATACTAAAGCCTAAATAGTTACCTATATTCTATTTAATAACAGGTCTGGTTGAGAGCTGCTTTGATCGGTTATTTTAAAGAAACCTAATCTGCAACTAGCTTCTCAAATGTGACAGTATACTGTTGTCGTATATGACAGCAAATTGAATATTTTTACTCAGATAAAACCTGCACCTTCAGCTTGTGACTGCCATTTTAAAATTTTTTTAATAACTGGCAGATAACTAATGAAAATAGTTGCAGCCCTGGTCTGGTTACAATGTGTTATACCTGACTTTTTTTAATGGTACGTGTCACACCACAGACTACCTTTAGTAGGATTCACAGTCACGTCAGCGTTGGCCTCCTCTGCTTCTGTTGTGACACCACACACCGACTGCTCCATTTTCTCCTCCGTCCCTCCTCCTGGCTGCGGTTCCAGAGGGGAGGATCCTGTTGATCGTGGCTCAGCTGCTGCACCTGGTGCAACTGGTCTTGGTCCTGCCGCGTGAACAATAGCAGCAGCAGCAGTAGTTTGCTCCATTTGGGGCAAAGACGCCTTCGTGGAGAACCAATGTCGCACCAAGTCTGCTGTTAAACCACTAGCCTCTGCCAGTTCCTGCAACTGTGCATAAAGAATAACCTGTGTTAGCTCCATGTTAAAGGACAGGCATTGCAGAGTCAATAAAGTGAGTCAATGTAACTTCTGCTGAAGAGCAGCCACTGTGACCATCAGCAACAATTACAGGATAATGGTAAAAACAAAGTGTAACAATAAAAATTAGAGAAGAATGTGTTATTTCATCTTTCAAAAGTTCTATAAAAGTGTAGGTGTAGACACTATCAAGATAATAATGGATTCAAATAAATTTGGAAAATTGCACACTGCAAACTGACAATAGCACCCACAATAGCTATAGCTGTTTTATGTGCTCTCATATAGTCATTATGATGGATGTAAATATTTACACCTTTCTATAAGACCATATTCAGCGCAATGGTATAAAAAAAGAATATACAGTTCAAACAGTACAGAGCGAACAGTGCACATATTGCAGGTTTTTTTAAAAACAACATGGTAATAATCTCATTATCCAAACATTGAAGACACTTGGAGGCATTCGGATAAGTCATTAAAGGATGGTAATGTTGATACTAATAACATCGAACCAGCAAACACAAGGAGATTATATTGCTCAGATGTTTCTCTAATGTAACTTTGCAAATAAAAATATAAATAATAATTAAACACCCTTTTCACAGCTTTCAGACAAATAGTTTATCTCTAAGGAATAATGAGAGAAAATCTATTTACAGTCAGATAAAAGAATAATCTGCCCACTACATTGAGCGACCATGCTTTATTGACTATTTCTATTTAGTGTCTTTAGTACCTCTTTCTACTTTCATTCTTCACATTTTATATAGTAAATGCTCATAATCTGTGACTTTGGTTTACTTAACTATACCACTCATCTGTTTTGTACGTCTTCTTTGCTGTTGTGTAACTTTAATTTAGCCAGTGTGGGATCAATTATGTCTTATCTTATCTAGGTACTGTACAAATACAGTAGAATGAAAATGAACTTCAAAAAGGTGCCCCAGTGAAAAGAAACGTGAAAGCTCCTTATTCCATTTTTTTTTTTCTGTGCTTCTGTAAACACAAATCAACAAGAGTGCCACATAGAGCACAAAATGAATGGAAGAGTAGCTGTATTAGGTTTTAAGCTCAGTACCTCTCCACAGGAAGCATATCAGAAGCTTGAATAGATATTTTCACTCAAGTGAAAATACAAATACTGATATAAGTGGGTTTTTTTTATTTTTTTTAAAAGTCACACTCAACAACAATGCAGCTCTTTTGAGTCAGGAGCCAAGAGCCACAACAATGGCAAACAGGAAAAGTTCAAGACTACAATTCTTAAAATTAAAAAAATTCTGATGAAGATTTGAAGTATTTTCATATCCAAGCAGCTTTCTGACGCAGCACACAATCCTCTAAGCAATTATTGTGAGGGAAATATACAAAAGGTGTATAGAGCTTAAACCCAGCACATAGTAGATGAAATATTTTATTATAAATTGTGGGTCTTGAAAACATTATGCTCCTTCTTTGTTTTAAATTGAGAAAATCAGTCACATGGGAATTAAAGGGAATAAACGGGAATAAAAAGGTATTAATGAGAATAAATGGGAATAAACTGGATATTTTTAATATTGCTTGTTATAATACTGTTAGTCTATAACAGGGAACTTACATGTAGTTGAAAAGAAACATCTTGGAGGATAATCTTGTTTAAAACCTGATTTAATGCAACTTCAGTTGAATGTCCTCCCTATATTCGTCAATGACATGCACACACGCAGTAATCAGCAACTATATACTTGCCAACATTTATTTTTTTAAATATGTGAGTTCTTTTCTTTTTTTTTTGGGGGGTTTAAATACATAACCCATTGCTATTAACCTATTTGGGTTAATTGTATTGTATGCATATAACCATAACCATAGCAAATAGTAAATCAAAGGCAGCATGATAGCTACCATCAAATGTTAAGCTAAAGGTCAATGGTTTGGGCTACTACTTATGGTGCTATCCATTTGTCCTGTAAATCCCCCGCCCGAGTTGCTCGGACGCGAGAACGTGACGTAATTGCCTGGCTTGTACCACTTATAGCGTTCCATTTGTATTTGGGCACTACGAGTTGGAAAGAACATTAATGCCACCAGTGCAGCAGCTGTGTTGTCATTGCTTGTGGCTCAACAAAGCTCAATGTGAAATAATAATGTTTTTCTACAGAAACACTAACATTTCAAGTAATTCTGTTATTGCAAGTCTTACATTTCAATAATATTTTGCCATTTTCGCCTATTTCAATGTTTCCAAAATTCCCCAGCTTATCTTTCCATGGAAAGTTTCCGGGAAGTTTCCGCCCCTTTGCAACCCTACTGAGCTGAACATGCTGCTGCTACACATACAATTAGGAAGTGAAATTCAATGTGGTTGAAATGTGTGAAATTTAATTGGCGTGTCTAAGCAGAAATTCACATCTAAGCCCCCAAATAAAAATAACTGCACTGGTTTTGAGGCTGTTAAGAATGTGCACCTCTCAAATCCCCCCCGCCCAAGAAAAAGTGTCAGTGTGAACAAGAGACACTTCCTGGAGCCACTCATTTCAGGGATGTGAATTCATTTTCTCCTACAGAGCCGTTAGCTAAAGTGAATGTTATAACCTATATATATATATATCCTAGCAACACAAATGTATCATCTGCCTCTAAGATTTTTGTTTTTCAGAGCCACTGAACTGCTCTAAACAAGTTGTTGTCATAAATACCTGCGACTCCTCCAGCCTGCCGTGGATGTCAAGGTGGTCCTGCAGGATCTGTTTGTTCCCCTTCTGGAGGTCCTCTTCCAGAGCCTCGTTCTGGTAGGCCTCCAGCCACTTCAGCTGGCCGTTCTTCTGCACGTACCGGCTGTCCCCAAACCAGCGCACTACCTCAGGTCTGGGAAGTCCAGTAGCTGAGATCAGTTCATCGTACTGAGTGGCGCTGGGCCACTGGGTACGGGCGTAGGCTTGTTTGAGCAACTGAAGCTGCTCTGCTGTCTTCTTACCTCGTATGGCAGTGGGTTTGGGGGAGTGGGATGGTTTGGGTGTTGGGGTGGAGGATTTGGATGGTTTAGGGGTGGGGCCTGTGGAGGATACAGGTGTGCTGCTGCTATGATGCGTGGGGCTATTCAACCCTTCACCTTCTGCTCTGCCATTGGCCTCTGTTACCTTCAGCATCTTCAGATTTATTTTAATAGGGTTGACTTTCAGTTCTCCTGAGCTGTCTTCTTTCTGTCTCTCCTCCCCATCAACTTCCATCTCCTCCTCCTCCTCTCTCAACACCCGCTCTGCCTCCTCTTTCTTCTTCTCCGCTGCCGCTCTCTTCCTCCTGTCGGCGAACCAGCCGTGGATCTCCCTTCTGGTCATCTTGGTCTCAGATCGCAGTCTGTCCACTTCCTCTCCTGATGGGTCAGGGTCCTGGGCGAAACTGGCCTCGAGAGCTTTCACCTAAACATCATACAGGAATGGACAGGGTCAAAAACCTGGAGGAACTGATCAAGTTCATTAAATCAGCAATAATTTTGATTTTCATTATTCATTTGTGTCATTTATCAAGCTCAAAAGCCAAACACTCTCTGTTTCCAGCTTCTCCAATGTGAGGATTTGCTGCTTTTTTTCCAACGCTGAATGAATCACATTTGGCACAGCTCTTAAAAAAAAAAACTTTTTTCACATAATGCATTTGTAGGCTTTGATGTGTTGAAACTAGTGGAATTCGCCTTTGATTGAAAATAATTGGCCTATTAAATTAATAATAAAAGCAATCTTAAGCCTCAGCCTTATAACTGAGTAATGTAACCTGAATAACCTACTCACTTAGCTTGTTACACACCAAGGATGGAGTCTTACCTGATGAGGTTCTCTCTCCTTGTAGCGGATAGCTGTAAAATCTGGAGAGGGAGGTCTCGGGAGTCGGCGGGAAGGTGTGGTGGGAGAGGTTGGAGTCTGTGATGCAGTTGGGCTCAGGGGTGCAGAGCTGTGCTGGGGTGTTTTTGCACCAGAGTTGCTGCTACTTTCGGACAGATCAATAGGGTTGGCACTGCCAGTGGTGCCGCTCCCTGGCGTACTCGAACCGCTCCCTGCTCCCGTTGCAGCGCCAGACTTACTCTGTCCACCTGTGCTGGAGCGTGTACCTTTGAGGTTGCGAAAGTGGTAGCGCCGGTCGCTGAACCACTTGCGGACTTCTCGTACTGTGAGCCCGGTCAGGGCGATGAGGCGGTCCACCTCCTCCTGGTCGGGGAACTGGCTGACCAGAAAACTGTCCTTCAGAGCGTTGAGCTGCTCTTGGGACTTCTTGCCCTTGTAAAAGCTGGGGTCCAGGAATGCGTTCACAGGTGTCCGAGAGCCAGGCGTGCTGCCATGAGGAGTGGGGGAAGAAGACTTTGAGGCAGGGGAAGACGCCTCCTCCATCTTGAAGGTTGGAGAGTCACTTCGGGTGGGGTCGACATCGTCTGTGCTTGTGCTGGTTGTGTTATTTTTGTTGCTGCTACCGTTGGTATCTTTGCTCTTCTGTCCATCGCTGCCCGTTTTGCTGTTACTGCTGTTCGAGCTGTCTGGGGTGTTTCTGCTTTCTGTGGTTACTTTGTTGTCACTCTGCACAATGCTGGTGTTGTTGGCTTTGCTGATATCCGTGTTCTTAGCGTTTACGTGGCTGGTAACATTACTATTGCTTTTGTCTTTGCAGTCTGCATTAGAGCTGCTGTGTTTACCATTGACACTGCTCCCCTTAGTATTATTATGATTACTGCTTCCTAGACTAAGGTTGATGACACTAGCTTGACTGCTTGTAATAATACTGCTTGTGCCTCCTCCCCCACTCCTACTACTATTACTGCTAATGATGTTGCTCCCAGTACTGCTGCTGCCCACTGTCCCCACCACCATGCTAATGCCCTTGTCTGCCACCAAAGCTGCAGCAGGTCGAGCCTGCATCATGGGGCGCGCTGCTGCCTGGGGCTTAGGTGTGACAGCCAGGGCCACAGGAGCACTGCTAACCTGGATACCGTTTGCCATTACAGGCTGTGTGACAATTACCCCTCCTTGACTGACAAGAGAGCCCTGCAGGATGTGAGGGATCCCAGTAGCCCCCAGTGAGGCAGGCAAGACTGTGATTGTATGTTGGGCTGGGCTACGGTGACTGTGGGTCTGGTTCTGTGAGCTGGAGGGTGCAGTCTGGATGATGGTGTTGAACATCTTCCTCCTGGCCTCCTCGATCTCCTCCGGAGACCAGCTGATGCCTTGTTTAAGTCTCTGGGCTGTGAACCAGATCTTGATCTGCTCTTCGGGGAACTTTGTGACCACAGTCAGGTAGCAGAGCTCAGCCTTTGTGGGGTACGGGAACTTACTGAAGGAGGTCTTCAAGAAGGAAGAGGAGTCCATGGAGGCACTGTAGGTAGGGATGCTGCTCAAAGGAATCATCACCTGGGACGGAAAAATAAGAAAACAAGAGTGGGAGACTATTGCGTTATTTGATACACAATTAACTTTATAATACTAGTACACAAAAACTAAATCCAAACAATTACCTTGGGGAGATTTTTGGAGGAAGAATGCGAAGAAGTGGAGGAAATATTTGAGGAGGCCGTGATTGGTGCAGATTGATGAAGGCCTCTGTTTTGAACCACTGAGACCACCTATAGAAACAAATTTAAAAAGAATCTAAGTCACATCAAAACAGACCTTTCCAAAACAGCCTAGGAGAACAAAGAGAAAAGTAACCACCTACCTGTGTGATGGGAGTCTTCAACATTGGTAATGCTCCAGAGCCATTGACTATCTGGATTGCTGAAGGCAGAGTGACCTTTGTCGTTCCATTGTGGACAATTGTGGGAACATGGGTGACTGTCACTGCAGCAGTCTCTTTTCTCTCAGTCTCTCTGGAGACAGATATAGCCACTGGGTCTGAGGAAGACTCGTCAGAGACTGAATGAGACACCACTATCCGTTTGGGCTCCGATTTGCCCTTCAGCATCCTCATAATTGGGGTTTTGGTGATGGAAATTTCACTGTCCTTAGCTGTCTCTGACCCAGTCACCAGATTCTGCTCCACCACTACTCTCCTGTCCCTCTTCCTCAGCTGCAGAGTCGTGTTCAATGTGCTCGGGTGAACCCTGGCATTATGCAGGGCCAGCCCCTCAAACTTGGGTGCTGAAACCCCACAGCTCACGCAAAAGAAGCTGGGGTCTGCACGGAAGTCCGGGTGCCCGGAGTACACATGATCCAGGAACAAATTAAGGTCATGGGTTTCAAAGTTACAAGGCTTACAGGTATAAGTGCCAGCACCATCTTTGACAGCGTCCCCCGCCTCTGGTTTGGAAGACTCTCCTGGGTCGAGGGGGCTATGTCTGCCCCCTCCAGAAATCCTGGATTGACGGAGTTGAACAGGAGAGTCCTGTTCAACCTCCTCTGCTGGGCGTATGATCTTGCTGGGGATCATACAAGGAGTAGTAGACTTCCTTTTGCTGGCCATGATGTGACCACAGGGTGGGGAGGGCTGGTCAAATGGCTGAGAATGGGGTGTGAGTGAGAGTGTGGGTCGTTTCTGGTTGACTATAGACCAGGCATGGGGGAAGGAGGACAGCGGGACGTGTCCATAGGTCCACTTGTGGTTCTCAATGCAATTTTGAGGGAAAACCTGGAAATGAGAGAAGGGAGTAAGTTTTAGTTCAAGTCGTCAGTCACAACCACATACAGTACCGATTGTACACCTGTAATCTGTTGGATAGGTTTGGTTAGTGGCGTAAACTGTTACATTTCAAGTACAAATGAGGGAGGAGATGGGAGAGAAAGAACAGATTGAGAGGAAAAGAAATAAGATGGGATATCTTACGCTATTCAGTACAAGCCAGTTTCCTCAGCGGGACGATAATCACGCATGGCTGGATGTTCCCAGGTGAAATATCAACAGCATAGGTAAGGTCTTGTGACAAGATTCAGCTTAAGCCTTTAAAATCAGGGGTTGCTTGTAAATCTTTGATCAAAAAAAAAATCCCCCTACATGAAACTGAAGGCTATCTCTTTTATGAGGGCATTCAAACAAGCTCAGTCTGCTTCTTCACTGAAGGCTTTTTGGGAGAGCTCCTGTCCTACCCCCTTCTTTCCCCTCCCCCACACAACTCTGTCTCACTTCCCCTCTTTCAGACACACCCCCACAGAGAGAGCACATTCTGTATTTTTTTTTTTTAATTCAGAGCCTCTGTAGCTTCACTAAACACCTTTATAAAAGATTTCCACAGAAATATTCACTTGTGAATGTGTTGCTTAAGATAGGGTGTACTTGACAATCGTGCAAGTGGGTGGTTCAACAGATGTTCCTCGAGAAAGTGGCGTTCTCAGCCAAAAGAAGTGCAGATAGAAACACACAGACCTGCATAAAAATATGAATCTAAAAAATTGTCACTTCATCCCTAGATCCCTCGTCTCCATACAAAATGGCGAAGCTTCCTGTGGAGGAGTTTTCCCCTCCCTCCTTCCTTCCTCCGCTCCCTCCCTCTGACAGAGAGATAGTGATGCAGTATTGGAGGACAGCTCTAGGGCAATTACTCTCCCAGTCACTCTGCACTGACATGACACCTCACGCACAGAGCAGCAAAGCCCACACAAAGTTCAACAGCTCAAAGAAGTTCAACAGGAAAAGCCAAAACCCTTTCGAAGTCCAGTCCCTCCCTGTGCAAAGATACTGTACTAACAAACCCAAACCCAATGCAGCTTTTCTGGTAGACGGCCCATATCTAAAATAATCTTGCCCATCCTATGCACAACCAGAACAGTCCCATGCAAATGTCAAACTTTTGTGGGACTAGTTTCAGACTTAGCATACCCTTTTTGTGCACAATGCCGCTGCAGCACCACCAACATCTCTGTCAGGCGAACAGCTTACTCCAAGTCAGTGTCATCATACAGTAAAACCAGCCCTTCTCCGATGAAATATAACATGTTCAATGGCAAATGCTCACATTCTCACATTCTCTCACACACGCACACGCACACGCACACACACACACACACACACACACACACACACACACACACACACACACACACACACACACACACACACCCTTGCTTTGCAACAGAAAGGTCATGGTACATTAGCTCAAAGCCCAGTTAACCCTCACAGGGCCAGGCCCTCGCACACATTATCTGAGCGAAGAGTTCACTTTACCCGCATTCAAGAGCCTGTAATCTCAGTTTCAGTTTGAGTCAATGTAAAACTTTTGGTAGCTTAATGTGAACGGCACATTCAATCTACAGATCTACTGTCTGCACATTTTACTATTTAGAATTTTTGATATCAAAATCTTAAATAATCAAAACTATAATGAGCTACTTTATTGAGCCTGTGATGAAAACTTAATTGGACTCACATCAGATTAGTTCTCTTTGCCTGTTTTTCTCCACTGATCTTCTATTTGGGTCTGAGTGTGAGGGGTTAACAGGCAAATGAAGTTTGCTACTGTGGAGGGAACGTGATGCCCCTTGTTCCCCTGTGCACCCCCCAGAGAGAGTAACTGCCCTTCGCTTGTGCTGTTGTGCACCCCTCCTACTCCCCTGCCATTCAGTTCTGCATCAGGGGGCACCACTCTGCCAAGGCAGGCTGGTCACATGACCAACACAAAGACTTATGGGTGGGCAGCTTCAGCCATCCATCACGTGGTTCTGTTGGGTGTGGGTGGGTAGGCGAGAGGATAGGAGAGGAGAGAGGAGAGGGAGAGCGAACGGGAGAGGCCGGTGGGGGATGGGCAGCCAGTTTGGGGTGAGGAGGCAAGGGAAGGAGGGGTGTTAACAGTCGTGGAGGAAGCACAGAGGTGTTTCAGTGAGGAATTTTCCTCCGATACCCCCCTCCAACCAGCCAACACCACCCCACCCTGCTAACCCCCGCTCTTCAACGCCCCCTTCTTGCTCCGAACTACAATCACAGTCCTTCCCTCCCTCCCTCCCTCTCTCCACTGCAAAGCCTGGAATGTTCCAACCCGAGCTCTTCAGCCAGTGGACATAACCTGAAGTTCAGCTCCAGTGTCTGTATGTGCCCACACATGCATGTGAGTACCTCATACAAAATAATTGTTCAAACCAAAAAACGAACAGCAAACACACAAGGTGTCACAAAATTAAACCGGCCCGTTGACATATTGACAGCCATTAAGATTGAGTGATAGCGCTACAATGCTGACAAAGTTCACATCGCACACTGATGCCTGTATATAAAAAAAAACGCAACTGTATAAACACATCTACAGATAAAAAGTTGCGCCTCAGCGAGGAGAGTAACCAGCGGAGACCTCTAGACCTCATACAGGTGAGGACTGAAACAATGCACAGTACAAGCTGAGCTATTATGAGCGAGTTGAAATTGGCAGCTCATGCCTCAGCAATGCCAGGCTCACATGAGTTCTGTTTGCTTGCTGGTACGAGTGCGTCGGCCGGTAACTTTAACTTGAATGTCGCACATACGTTAACTGACCATGTGGTGATGGTGGGTTTGTGTCTGTTATATGTATCAGTATTTGCATGTGTGGGTTTCCTGTGAGATTGAGAATGGAGAGAAGGGAGGTGGGGTGGGGTGGGCGGGGGGCGCATGTGTGCTCGCGTTTGTGTGTGTGTATGTGGCGTGCGGGGGTGGCTGCCTGCATGCCTGTGTGTGAGGCTTGTTTACTGAGGTAGTGAGGCTGCCATTTTTTCTGTCTGCGAGAGTCAGAGATCTCCCAGTGACACACAAAGACAATGTTTTTGTCCTCTTGGTTCGTAACCTATATTATCTACGCCTCATCAATGGCTCAGCCCAGCATGACCTCCTTTCATCCCCTGGCCTGACTCTTGTCTAGGCCTGGGCTATATCCTCTGAGTACAGGCCAATAATAGCGCTCACACACACACACACACACACACACACACACACACACACACACACACACACACTAGAGATCCTACAGCTCGGCTGCATAGCGTAGCTGTATGCTAACTACTCCTCTCCTCACCTAGCTGAGAATACAGGTGTAACGTTGATATCTGTGAGTGTGTAACAAATGCTCTCTTCAGCAGGACAGAGAATAAGTGTACAACACAAGCAGCAGTTTCCTTGTTTGCTCCATTTCTTGCTTCCTCACTCGTCATTTTTCCTCCCTCTTCACCCTCACTCCCCCTCCCTCTTCAACAGTCTCTGCACCCTCTGCTTCCCCTCCCTCCATTCCTTCTCCTCCTCCCTCTCCGAGCAAGTTTGGCCCAGGGAGACAGGTCGGCAGCGCCACTGGTGTGTTACTGTCCCCATGGCAACCACCTCCTACCCCCCCCCTCTCCTCTCTCTCTCTCTCTCTCTCTCTCTCTCTCTCTCTAGCTCATTTCTCTAAAGCACATGCATGTGGGGTAAACATGCACACACATGGTTACTCAGACCTGCACGCACACACGCACACACGCACACACACACACACACACACACACACACACACATCTCCTATGCCATCCAGTCCCTGGCTCTAGCGGGGCTTGTTTGTTCCACACACCCCTGTGAGTGGTATTTGGAGAGTCCCTGCCCTGCTCCTATTTCAGTGCCTCCCTCACGCGGTGTTGATGTCTCCCAGCTAGGTGCGGTCGCCGTCGCCAAGGCACACCATTGGCCAGAGCTGCTGCCGTCTCTTCCTGTTAACTCAGTGCCCGAGTCCCTGTCCAGACATCTGCCTGGGCTACTGCCCTGTCCCTTGCTCTCTGTGGCTCTTGTGTTTGGCCTCAGAGGCCTGAGGCATGCAGGGCTCCTCTATTCACAAACTGTAGGCAATGCAGACAAGGACACAAAAACAGGGGTTGAAAATCTGGCAGACGCTATCTCTGCCAGAGAGGACTGATGAACCATCTCTATCCCCAAGTGTATTTAAGATAATTATCAAGTCTGCACCCAAACACAAACCCTTCGCCATATACGAGCCTCTGTACCAAAACAGACATCCTTCGCCATGTTTCCTTCTGTTCCAAAACACAAACGTCTTGCTAGTTACTTGATTTACTACCACCTTAAAAACAGACATGGCTCCAACTAACCTCCTCCTGTCAATCAACTCCAGGGTCTCACACACTCACACCTCATGCTGACAAACGTGGCTCACCACTCCACAAACATTTACACATTTTGTGCGTCGGAACTTCTTTCCACTACATTTCAAACCTTATACAATACTGGCAACAATAAGAAAACCTCAACGACAGTGTTCCTACAGTGTCACTCCATCTGCTCCGGAGTCCCATTTGGGCTGCTCTCAGGTCAGGGAGCGGATGGCTGTGTGGGCTTGCAAACGGCTGCATTGCTGTGGCCACTGCCAGTGCATGCGTTAAAACTGGGTTGGGAGAGGGGAGGGAGAGAAAAATGGCGGAGCACCATGCTCTGTGCTGTCCAACCTAAAATGGCTGACATCACAAGCAGTTAACCAGCCAAGCAGAGCAAGAGGCTGCTACTGCTGCTGACCCAAACCTGCTCGCTCTCTGGATGTGAGAGTGGATCGCACTGCTCTCCCCCCAAAGACCGTGAAAAGGCGGGTAAGCAGCAGTGAGCAAGCAGCTGAGTCTGGTTTTTTTTTTGTGGTCATACTTGGTAGAGATCTGCAAGTTAATTGTCTTAACATGGGTCAACACGTAAGAGGAGGCGAAACTCACTGATGAAGAGTCATTACTGAAGGACTGACACACAAAATCAGCTGATCATTTGATGCTTAAAAAAAAAGGGGGAAACCAGTAGAGCAAAACAAAAAGATTCTCAAGGATGTGAAATGAACAACCTGCAAACATGATTTCAGTTAAGTGGTGGATTAATCCTTACATACAAATCCACTCAACCTGTGCCATCAGCAAACCTACAACTGAGGGGAAGAAAAAGAGGAGAAAGAGGGGTGGGAGATGGCGGTGGAGGGGTGAGTGATACTGTTAGATGTACAGTCATTAAGCTCAAGCAACACAAAGAAATACAGCAATACAGCATAATAATAATAATCACCATCATCACAACAATGATAATAACAACAATAACAGTAACAATAAAAAACTTTTGCACAGCTGTTATGAACATCAGAGATTGACAATTCTTCATATCCAAGGAAAACATACACAAATTGAGTGTTTTCTTTGTTGTTGTTTTTTAAATAAATCAACAATAGTATGGAAACTGGTGTATTCCACTAGGAAAGGTGTAACGGGGTTGATAGGTGGACTAAGCTGCTTGTCTATATGCCAGGGACTCACGTGGACATCAGACAGAAACTAGCTGTCTGGGAAAGCTTCGCTCTAATCCCTGGAGTCACACACTCATGACAACACTAACATGATAAATAACCAAGGCAACAACAGCTTGCCAACTCATAACTGGCTGTTAGGCAACATGGAATAAAAAGCACGAACTCTGCTTATAGTTTATGAAAAAGTGTGGCAGCCGTGATTTTTTAAAGTCTATGAACACAAACATTTTTATCACCTCATGACATAAATAAAAAATAAAAAAGAATAATACAGGCCTAACGACATGAGCTTGTGGATAAAATGGTAAATTACATTATGAATTATCATAGCAGCAACTCTGACAAACAATATTAGTCATAGGAGAGGTCAAAGTGATTTCTAACTTCTTCATTCATAACACAAGCCTGGAGAATTGTGGGAATCCTGCCTTTTTGTTTACGCGATAATCAAACAGGTCAGACTCTATCATGAATCGTCAACATCAAATTGCTACTAACGTGACAACAATGTATCCACAAATGATGGCAAGTAGCGGTATTTTTATTAAATGAAATAGCAGAGAAGTGGTCGGACTGTATCGTTCAGTCCCGAGCGCAGCAGCGTCAAACATTTCCGAAAATGATGCGTGTTCATCTTCCGCTCAAGTTAGGCGGAGTGAGCCCCAACTTAATGGGCTTGACTGCATTATAGGTTTTTTAAAAAACGGTAACCAATTCAAGAGTGGAGGAAAGGCGAGCCCCCAGCCCCAAAAAACTACTCTCTCCCTGTCTCTCTCTCTCTCTCTCTCTCTCTCCCCCCCCGGTTGGCTGTCGCCATTTTAAGCAGGCGACATGCAGCTGGCCAGCAAAAGCCCGCAAAGGTAAAGCTTTCACAATAGCTCGCACAAGTTTTTTTTTTTTTTGGGGGGAAGGTGAAATACTTGTATAAATGTGTATCATAAAACCACACTCACCTCGCTTTTTGTCGGAGCTCAGTGTATGCAGCGCAGGGTTTTAAAAAAAAAGTTTAAAGTGATATGGGGCTCAGTGGAGCCAGAGACTGACGGGAGGTTTTTTGGGCTTTACTGATGGCAACTTATAGGTGTAAGCCCCCCTCTGTCCATCGGCTGCTGATAAACGTGACACTGGAGCCAGACCGGTCCTTACAACGGCCCCCCTTTTTTTCTGCGCTTGTTTATTTCGAGTGGCTCTCAGTGTTAAAGCAGGCAGTGGAGGGGAGGAAAATACGACGGACGTACCGAGGGAAGAGACGGACACGTGACGCAGACGTCACTGACGGTGGAGTTGGCGTGAGAGCTCGAGCTCCGCCGTGCAGAGAGCAGAAGTGAGTCAGACATCCCGTCCTGACTTTGACCCAGGGAGGGTGCTTGTGGGGGGGTCGTGGTCATGTTTCTAGATGGGGGGGGAAGCATCCTCTGTCTCTGTTAAACGTGATGTTACAGCAGCTCACACCTGTCCCCTTTCCCAGGTGACCTCTCTTAAAGACATAGTACAAACAATAAGTCCCCCCCCCCCCACCCCAGCCTTACCCATAAGTATCCTACTGTGCACATACACTAATATAGGCTACACGATTATTTAAAAATACATGAAATACACAATAATGATCACTATGGATTGGACTTTACTATTTCGCCCTTGTTGCCTCCAAGTTCACATCAAGCACCATAGATGGCAGCTTCATTGTATTTTGCACACACACACACACACACACACACACACACACACACACAGCAAAAGTCTACTGCAATTTGATTTTCTGTGTGTCCGCTTGGTAATTTCATGAAACGCAACTTTATTTAGAGACATGCATAATGTGACTACAGTATTTAACTCTAAAAAATCAAGGTGTGAGGACCAGATTTTCATACGAGGCCCCAACTGTGTAAGAATGTAGTATCCAGTGGATATTGTGCTTTAGAGATGCAAATTCCCTTACAAATTTGCAACTAATCAAACTACAATAATAACAAATAAAAAAAAAGGAAAAAGGCTGACACACCTCAACCTGAGGCCCTTTTGGGGAACCGGGGCAGTTGCCTGCTTCGCTCGGCTGGTAATGCAGCTTTGCACAGACACATTTAAAATCCTTATGCATAGCAGTAGAAAATATGTATAACTTTCACTGTACTTAATGGTGTACAAGTAATGTGTCTGTGAATTAAAGCTGAAATTAAGCTGAATTGCTTTGAAATTGAATTGAAATTGCTATTTTAAACAGCTTTTCTATTTAATTTATCAATGTTTTACATTTTATTGTTTCTTTTGTATTGATTTTTAGTCAGTTGTATTTATTGTTTTATATTTATTTGTGTTGTTTCAGTTTTACTGTGTGGAGCACTTGTTTGTATGAAAGATGCTATATAAATAAAGCTGACTGACTTGAATTTAGAGTCAAATTTACTTTGTTGTTTCCTGTGAAAGGGCTAATATGTCCTCCTGACCATATCCATTTGTGTAGCCCCTGTTTCCACTATTAGGTACACCTACTAATCTCTAATGTTTAGTTTTCCATCATTGATATTAATGGTGGCTCAAATAAACATCTCCCAGTATAGCAGCACAAAATACAACCCTCCAAATTGACCATAAAGTTGAGCACCTCTCTAAAACAGCTTATAAAAGAAACCCTGAACATTAAGGTTTAGTTTTGCAGGGCTGTTGTAGTGTTGAGTGTCTTAGACTCAATTGTGCACCTCCTCAAAAAAGTGAATGAAAAAGTTACTCAGTTACAGTAGCACATGTGGTTATTTACTACCATAGCAGAAAAAATCTTTTCACATATTAGTTACAGCAGGTTAACTGTACACTTACAGTGTTGCACTCACATCATATAAGACTATTCTAAGACTATTATTGATTTTTCATTAAGCAGTGTTTATTATGCATGTATGCTATTAGACTCAAATTAAGGATGACGACACAGCTCCCACATCTTCCTGGATGACTCATGCTTAGTGGGTCAATTTTTAAGATTGAAAATAAAAACTGAAATACACTTATTCTCCTCCTTCTCTAATATGCAGGGGGTTACAAATTTATTTATAATCACCTTGATTCCAGCATCTGATATCACAACATACAGATACTAATGTCCTGAGAAATATATGAAAATATCATCCGTTCTGAGATGAGAGAATACTGCCATTTTATTCTGGTTCAAAACAATGTGCAGAAGTCTTAAGATGTATTTCCATTCATCTGACCTTATTTAAATTGATTCAAGTTTTATTTTCCACACGTGAGATCAGATTGTTAACCTGTATGTATCAAAGCCAGTTCATTTCCAGTGTTTTAAACTCTAACCTCATAGGCCTCTCTTCTTCCATCAAATCTGATCACTCAAGACTCAATTTCTAATCACATTAATGGCCTAATCACTCAACTTACACCAGTTAATTAAATAATATGAACTGTGGTTATCTCAAATAGAGTGTTGATCAAGAAAGGATGGAGCCAGATAAGACTTTTACTAAGTGTAGTGAAGCTCACCATCATAAAAGAAGCCCTCTGCTGGACAGAAGAGAGAACGACAGACAGATTTCACTGAAATAGGTTAGAGTTCAATTTATCCATCAAGGGTCAGTAATAAAAATGGCCATATCATTTAATGCCATTATTCCAAACCATTAACCTACAGACATGTATTAAGACATAAACATAAAAAAAATAAATAAATAAACATCTTCTTGGATATGTGCTTGGATATCTCTAATTTCCACTTTAAAATCCACAAAAAGGCATCTACTCTTTCTACCTCGTTACAAATCTAAAGCTATGAATAGGCAAGTTTAGTAAATGATTAAAGTTTTCCATCTGGATACAAGATGTCTCCTTAGCTTCACTGTAAAGTCCGTTCTCAGTGTTTGTGTACTGGTGGATTCAAGCTTCTACATCACACTTGTATAAGTTTCATAATGGAGCAAGACTGACTTCCAAAACTATTTGTAATGTCACAGATCATACTCATAGGCCCCGCCCCTTAAAAATCAGATCTTCAAAAGAAACTTTACACTTTTAGCAGATAAATGTGAAAACATCCATCCTGTGTCAAACTCTGCACATACGTCATTCTGCACAGTAAACATTCAACTGTAGCAACAAGAAGAGAAACATTAATGAAAACGTTAATGAAACTTGATTTGTTTATTTAACTGCTACAATTAAAAAAAAATGGATGTCAGAAAATAAAACGTATGTGCATATTTGTAACGTGGCAAAGACGAAGTGGTTCTCAACTTTTTTGAATTTCTCATTTGCTTAACCTCTAGAGGCCTGAAGGAGTAAAACATTCCAGTATTTCACATGAAATAAGCAAATTTTAAGTAAGCAAATTTTAGTTAGGGAACAACATTGTCACTCTTTTCTGTCCCATTAATAATCTCATGATCATTAAGATTTATCTCTCTTTCAGATCCGAGGTTGGAAACTGCCTTTTACGTCTGCTGACAGCTGTATATGTTTGATCAGCCCATGTTTAGTTTTTAAGATATCCCACTGTGACATGTAATGCTGTTTACACGTTTATTTAATGACAGCAGCTTCACGTGAAAGGAAGGTTGTAAAAAAAGAGCAATTTAATCAATGTATTGATAATAATCTTTGCCAAATATTACGTCTATTCAAAATTAGCCACTTAATAATAATTAATAATAAGAATAAGAGAGAAAATTAGCCACTTTATAATAATTAATAATAATAATACTAATAATAAGAGAGAAAATAACTATGACAGAGAATGTCCCAGCCGGAGGGAAAACCCTGGAGCAACATGTTGCATACTGAGCTCCTTAAAAATCTGCCTCCTCTTTTTGATTTTGATTTTATCTCTGCTCATTATTACCATTGTATCATCATACAACATGACTACCAACTGCAATTATATTGATAAAATATATATAACTTATTATATATTCTTAGTTTTATATTAGTTGTTTTCACTTGTGGCTGATGATGACTTTATTGTCCACTAAATCTTAATACATAGTTGCCTGGGTTGTAGACAATAGACTTTAAAACTGAACACCTGTTACTTATTGTCATCCTTTTAGATATCTATTGCAACAATTAATCAGTTAATCGACTGGAAATTGATCAGAAACTTATTAGATTAATTAATCATTTTTAACAAGAAAACAAGCCAACATTTTCTGCTTTGAGCTTCTCAAATGTTATTACTCTATGTTATTTTTCTGTCTTCTATTATTATAAATTAAACATCTCTGTTTAGTTGCACATGTGGACAAAAGCATTGATTCAGCAGATCAATCCCTAATGAAAATAATGATTAATTGCAGCCCTAATATAATGTGATTTTCGTAGAAATGCTTTATGTCTGTGTTATGTATAACTGTATCTACTATAAGATTAAAAGATTAAAGAAGTTCTTACCACAACAAGGGAATAAATGTTTATTTAAGTATTCATTCATCCATACATATATTTTTATTTTTCTTTCATTCTAAGATATTATGTCGTAAAAACCATTTGTTTTCATTTTGTTTTTGCTTTATTAAACCCATTGTGAACCTTATACAGCCTGATTTGCCAATACTATACTCGATTATGGTTTAAATGTTAGTCCAAAAGCACTTACAGATCCTGACCACTGGGGGTCGCTGTGGATTTTAAAGCAGCTCCCGGCAACCGCGGCGCAGAAACGTCGCACTCTCTCATTGGCTCTTGGCGGCTGGGGTCAAACGACATTGCGCATGCTCAGATGTCCTTTTTCGGCTAGCGACTGAAATCTGTCAGATCAGCGGAGCGTACATTCCCCTAATACCTTCAAATATCTCACAGTACTTTCTTCCCCTAGACAGCGCTGGAGGCGTAAATCTAACCCGAGGTGTCTTCAGCTTTGGATTATAACTTTTCGACGTGTGTGGCCGAAGGAAAACAACAAAGAATGACGAGCAGTTTAAAGCGGAAAGAAGAAAGTCATCTGCTGAATGGGGGTGTAAAACAGTCCACATGGAGCAAAGCCTTCAACAGTAATGCTGTTTGGGAAGAGAAGGTCAGTCTGTTGCCCTTTTTAAAACAAACAAACAAACAAAAAAAAAAACCAGCCCGGCACTTTCATTGCTGCTGTCGCTATTAATTGCCCCAAAGTTCCCAGTGCACCCAGTTTGCTGGCAGGTGTTCATAAAGGAGGCTATCTGCAGCTAGCTGCCATGCTAAGGATTTAATCTGATTTGGATTCAAATGGAAAGGAAAGGTGTTCATTGTCTCAGCGGTTTGGGTTTAGTTTAATACTAAACAAGGAAGTGGACGATATGGAAACGGTGCTGGCTTTTAAACCCCCCCCCCCCCTTCACTGGATTCATTTAAATCCCTTTTTTAAATGT